CGGATGCGAGCCACGGACGTGAGGCCTTTCGAAACCCCTTGCTTTCTCTGTTAGCTGACTACTTAACTTTTCAGTGGATGTCCATGCCTCTGCCAATTCGATCCTCTTATGATATCATACATGTTATATTATTTTTATAGATTGAACTTCTTTTTTTGTACGTAGCATTTTTTTGCATAATTTTATTACACAATGAATTAATTATTATATAATTATTACATAATATTATTAAATGTCTTTAAAAAAATTTATGGTATTATTGGCATATATAGTTTTTCTATATACATTTTTTATTCTCGTTGGCATTATTTTTCTAAATTCGCATATTATTTTTAATTTTCTTCAATCATGTGATGAAATAAATTGATTCTTTTTCCTTGTAACTTTTTATAATTTTATATTAGTGATTGTTTAAGTATCGTATTATTAGATTGACGAAATTATTGCTTAAAGAATATAATAATATTATTAATACATAGATATTATTTCTATTTATACATAATTAATTCATCTATATATTTTATCTCCATCGATAACATTTAAAATATTCGTAAAAAACGCGTTATAATATTCTTTCCAATCTCTCCGAGTCTTTCAATTGTAATGATAATTAGAAAGTGATCTCTTCGGTGAATCTTACCTGGATATTAATATAATAGAAAGGTGCAGTGCAAACATGAAGAGCCAAACCGCACAATTCGCGCTGTGAACCCAGACTTGATATTGGGGAGAGTTCGCGTCCAAAATGTTAAGGAAAGAAGAAACAGCTCTTACAAGTGCATTTACCGAAAGTTCTCAGGCTCGACCTCCGCTCCTCCGCATCGGGAAGCTCATCACGTAGACTTTAAGCCCTCCCTTATCTGCGCGTCATCAGGAGCCAACTTCCCTCCGTCTCTCTATCTACCCGCTGTCTCCGTCCCTCTCGTTCCCTCAATTTCTGTCTCCTTCTCTTTCCCTCCCTTCCTCTCCCCCTCGTCCTTTCGTTGTCGCGCACATCGCGACTCTTTTCATTTTTTACCCTCTCTTTCTTTTCCCTCCCTCCTCGTGGTTTTATTGTAGATGTGTATGCAAGCATGTATGCATGCGTCGTGATTTACGTCCGCGGATGTAGCGGGATGCTTTATAGTGCTCCCGGCGTTATTCTTTTTTTTTGTTTTTTTTGTTTCATCCGCTTTCATTCAGATCCCGCCCTGTTCTGTGGAAAGCACTTCACTTGTATCTCACGTTGTCTATCGTATGTCGATGAATATTAGAATACGAAGGATACACACGGAGTAACTTATATAAAAATGTTGTAATATTAAATTAATCTCGCTCAATAAAATGATATTTATATCGAAAGACTCGCGCGCAAAATTCGAAAATTGCGGTACAAACTGTAAATATTGTTTAAACGCAATTGTTTCTTTTTTTCATTTTATTGCATTCAAACGGCAAAGTGTCCTCTCTAAACCTTGTATTCGTAATTGCGCAACACGCTGCGAATTTACACACGCGACATTATCTCCTTCGCACTCGCTTATAAAACTCGGCATGATTCAAGCGTTGCATCATGAATGAAATCGCGGACTATGGTCCACTAGAAGCGAGGGATGTATCGTGAATAATTCATGACATCGAATAAAAACATAAGCGGCGAAAGACAAGCGATAGCAATACTTTTTCAGCAGCTTTTGCGAAATCGCGCCGATTCTATCGTCATCGGCGCGATTTCTTCGAAACTGGCTATATATCGGGTGAATTTGAAAGGTTGCGAAATAAAGCGTTCGCTATCGCTGGTGAAAGAGTCCTCCGCTTACCTTGTCCAAGAAGTTTACGAGACGCCGGTCTCGAAATCTAATCGCCGCGCGCGATTCGCGTAAAACTTATTCCTCGCTCCTCGTTATCGGACGGTCAGCGGAAATGACATTTTTCGTCGAAACGCTACAAAAGCCCGGGCATCCGATAGCCACCCTCGGCAGGGCCGCGAAAGAAAATTATGTCGAAACTGGAGCCGTAACATTAGGAGCATTGTATTGTTGCGCGAGGCTACGGCTCTCCGGGGAGTAGGTTGGAAGGTCCTTTTCCGACTCACGTTCTCTCCTCCTCGCGCGCGCATACACGGAGACGCAAGACACACAGACGCGGAAATACAGACGGAACGGGACGTACCCTCAGGTGGTGCTTGGGACCGGCAAATGAATCGTTTAATTGAATTAGTCGATGAGCCCGCGTTACGACGCGCATTATAATTTCTACGGTTGCCAATACCGTCCTCGCTTCCCTTGTCGCTCTTGTCGAGAAATCATATTCGGAGACACCGTCGTTACCGGGGAACTTTGCCGGGTATACGGGATTACGTATCGCGCAATTTTTTTATAACGATAAAGATGAAAATTTTATGCCGAGTGACACAATCTTGGTAGCCAATAAATATTCAATCTTGTGAAAAAACTAACTAGTTTTTCTTATTTTGTTTCATTTTCTTTTCTTATTTTGTTTTATATATTTTTTTTTATTTTGTTTTATTAACTGCATAGTAAAAATATAGTAAATTAATATATTATAGACATTTTTTAAGGTAACTTGCTCGGAATTTTCAGGACATTTTTTACAAGATTTGAGAAGACGTGTAATATTAAAGAGATATATTATAAAAAAGAAATAATTTGAGAAATCTGGCGCGTATGTATCGAGTTCGCGAGAGTTTTCCATAGTCACGAATTCCATCGACATAGGGAAACGATGTTATCCGCACGGTAATCTGGCCGATTATTACGCGCAGCTGCCATTTCTCTCGTATCTCTGGAGCAGTGGCGACTCGACGATTCGAATCCGCGAAAAAGGAAGAAACGGAGGGTCGCGGATATCCGAGGGGGCGAGAGCTCGTCATAGCTCTCTGCTGAATTATTGATGGGCAGCACTTTGAGAGAAGGCGAAAGGACGCTACGTTAGCGGCGCGCCTTTCTCGAGGATCGCCAAGGATATACCGGCGATGGTTGCGTCGGAAGGGACCACTATCTCCGGTCCCACGGGACTTTCGGGACTCGCGAGCCCTCGCCGCCACCGCCGCCGCCGCCCAATTCCAACCAATTTGACCGAAAGTTGGGCGTAATTTTATTTTCACACGTCTGCAGACGCTTCACCACGCGAACCTGACCGAACGGACGAGGGCGGCCGTGCGCTTAGGTCTAGCTTTTCCAAGTTCCGTTCCTCTTGGGGGATAGATTCGGTCAAAGGAAACTGCCCCTTCGCTCCTTGTATTCTTTATCTTTGCCAATCATCGGAGAGACGGCTTTTAATCGTCTCGTCGATTTGGCTAGCGCTTTCGTGACGGACAGCGGTATTTTTGTATCAGAAATAATATTTTTTTCTCTCAAGTATATATTATATTAATATTGAGAGTGTGATGTGTGTTTCATATAGCCGAAACAAGTAATCGAGGTACCAAAAGTAGAAACAAACTCAAATGTAAACTCGAATACAATAGTCTATCATTCGTTGAGAAGGTGGCCAAGGGAAGAATCTGTCATTATCCCTTTGGGACGAAGACGAAAGTCTGCCTGTAAACGAAACTTTACTGAGGACAGAGGGATCGAGTGTCGCGGAATGTCTGTGAAATACCGAAACAAGATTCCGACACAGTGGCAGCTTATACTATCAAGGGGAGGGATGCTCTCTCTCCTCCCTTTTCTTCCGTTTTTACGACTTCCGATCCCTGTTCGCAGCCGAAAATGGTCACAATGGGTTACCATCGTGTTGGCATATCTCGCGCGAGGGAGAGACAAACTCGGGTAGATAGGTAGAGAAAGTATACCGGTGTTTTACAGTCGTTAAGCGCAATAGCGAACGAATAAAAATCCCATCGCGTTTCGAATCATTTCGGCTCCAGACCGCGACAGACGCTTCCGCCAAGCCCCCGGTCCCCATCGGAGAACGACGGAAGTTGGTTAATGGGCTAAACTCTTAACCCTGATGCCTTCCTGGGGACAGATTTCGCGCGCGCAGTTGCCCACATTTTTCGAACAAAAAGAGTTAATCGCCGTTCGAGATGGGAGAAGCAAAACGCATCTTGAATCTCGCATTCGCGAAACACGAATGACATTGAAAAAGGAAAAATGTTTTTATCGCAATCTAATAAAATCTTTACGTATATTCTGGGGAGAAGCGTTTATCGCGACTCACTCGCGCGGCGGATAAAAACGATTCGTACCAGAGGTTAATGACCAAGCGCTATCAAGAGGTGCGCATAAATTTCGTGCAAACGTATCCGCCGTTTCATTGGCCGGTGGTTTACAGTTTTAAATGTAAAACCGGTACCGAAGGGCCGGTCCACTGGGGCGTGGTTACGTTACGTCGATGTTCTCTCGCGGATACATTCGCCGGCTTGTCAGTAAACACGGGCTTCATAGCGCTTTTGAATAATGTATGCCGGTAGCACACCACGCACACACACACACACACACACACACACACACATACACACACTATCGCCACGCCTCTTCACCTTTATACCTATTTGCGCGACCGCATAATTTCAGCTTCGCCGCCGTATGTATCGCACGCTGCGCGCATTTGCGCGAAATAACTCCCACCCCCGATGTAACTTTGCCATTAAGAGAGACACGTCGCGATACGACACGTGCGCAAGGCTCCCTTAAAAGGAACGCGCCACACACAGGAAGCATGGAACGAATTTGCGGGCCGATCGCCGTCTTTCTCTCTATGACCAACTTATCACCCCGAATCCATAAGCGTCGGGATATTTATCGAACCGTTAACGCTTGAACCGATAATCCCGAGTCGAATAAAAACAGCCGAGCTCGTAACGCTCTCGTGCTCGCAATTCTAATCGAGGATCGAGTATATTCGTTTGTATTCGGAATTATTTCTCTGGGGATTACTCTGTATACTCTCAAGCAAACTGCCATCCACATGTATAATAACGTTTACTTGTAATCCGTCGAAGAAATGCATTGTTTCGCCGCTGTAACCGCTGTGCGTGTGTGTTTGAATTACAGCATCTTGGAGTTGCGCAAGGAGAAGAGCCGGGACGCGGCGAGGTCGCGACGGGGTAAAGAGAACTTTGAGTTCTACGAGCTCGCGAAAATGCTTCCTCTACCGGCGGCCATTACCTCCCAGCTGGATAAAGCCTCCATAATAAGACTAACGATCTCGTATCTCAAACTCCGCGATTTCTCCAGTCACGGCGATCCGCCGTGGTCCCGCGACGGTCCACCGCCCAGCAAATCTGTCAAAGGTAAGATAAAACACGAGTCTCGCGATTCTCTCTCGCTCACATTCCTTCATTTATCGACGGGAAAATCATGGATTCTGATCCCTATCTTGCAAATTATTTTTATTTTACATGTATAATTAACGAATATAACGCGAGAGATTCTCCACTTACTCTTACTTGTGTCGTCCATCTGTCAAGGGCGATAGAATATCGCAAATGTTTCGAGCGAAACATTTTGTTTTAATTTATTACGATAGACACGTAATCCGAGTAGTCGGCCGAATGAAGATATATCTGCCGATGATGTCTCTTGATGGATCAGCGTTTAACCTCCGGAAAGAGGGAGTCATCCAGACTGTTAATAGGGGGGATCAGGACCCATATTCCGTGAACCTAACTTTCTCTCCAGGGATAAGAATAAGAGAGGAAGTCAGCCGCGTTATAATTCCTTTACGCTCGCGTCGTCTGCAGTGGAGTAGATTGGTATTGCGGCAGACACGCGCGAAATGTATCGTCATGCAATATTTCATCGCACGTGTAATACATGTATACTTGATATTTTCCACATATATACCGGTATTAATAATTTAATATATTTCACAAATTAAATATATATAAATTGGAGAAGAAATAATAGAGTAAAGGTAAAAATGAGGGAAGCAACCGCGTTATAATCGCGTCAAAGTCAGCGAATATCCGACCTGTCGGATGTCTCCTTGATAGACACGTGTCTCTTTTATTGTCAGACAGAATCGATGCGTTTTGCCTCGCGACACTTGTGTAACATAATTCGATTTGTAACAATGTGCCTCGGACGAGAAGAATTTTTCGTCTTTATATCGCGTCTTTGGCAACTATATAAAATACTTTTTGTAACACGAAACGAAAATTATCGGGGACACGTTAGGATTATATCGAAGAGATTGGACAGTCGCTTCCTTGAGGAAGACGCAGGCTCGTCGGCGATAGATCGAGCTTTCAGATATCCTTTATAATTCCAGTGACCATGCAGCCGGCGAGAGATTTCTAGAGATACATAGTAATAGAGAATTGTCGGCAATCATCGAGCGATAAGATCGCCGCGGGCCTCTTTCATTTTCGTGCTTCATTTAGCGAAAAGGGGGTAGAGCTACTGGCTTATTTTAGTGCACTTTCGCTTCGTCGCTCTCTCGCAATCTTTTTCTTCATTAATGTGGATATACCGTTACGTTCGCTCCATCGTAGCTTTATGTATTTCGCGAGCTTTATATACGGGTCAAGTGGATTTTCGAAGGAGAAACAGACTTTTATTATTGATCGGAGATCGCGAAGAATAAATACAACCCGTCTACTCGATGGGAGAAAAATCCCTTCTCCACGAAGAGAAATCGTAAGGACAGCATTGTCGGGAAACCTTAGTCGCTCGTAGCCGCCGCATATTTTCGGAGTGCGCAAGGGTGGGGTGCTGGTTGAGTTAATATTTACAGTGCGGGAGGGTCGCGAAAAACGTTAGAGAGAGGTTCCGCACGTACGCGGGTACGTATAAAGGCTTAGGTATAGATGCGTCTCTCTCTCGTCTGCCACTATCCGCATGAAAATCTAATCACGACAACCCCTATACGCGCGCAAGGCCTCGCGTTACCAACCGCCAATGTAACTAAACTAACGAAATTGAGTTAGGTGCCGCGCATCGCTGCCGCAACTCCTCGTCAAACTAAATCCAGTGCCGCCCCTCTTCTATTCAGTGCGCCGCATGTCAGGGCCAGCTCTCCCGGTACGAGGACTTCTCGACTTAACTGAGTAAAATGATTTGAGATTTCGAGAACGGTTGATTCGCGAAGTATTCGGCTAGAATAATCGATCGACGGGCCAATTACGTGATATTTGTCCAGAAATATCGCGCGTACGGATATTTTTCTAACTGCCTAAAAGCAAATACGCGCGGTCAAGTTATATTTATCAAAATATTGTGATAAATGGCGGAGCAACGGACGCGAGGGTTGGTCGAGGTGCTAAATCCATCTTCGACCGAAAGATGGAACGCTTCGATAAAAGATTAAAAAATATTGACGTACTGTTTAAATATCGATAAAAAGGTGTAAGATGCTAAAAGATCAATATTCTTCTAATATTCTTTCAAAAAATCCTAAGAATACTTTTTTCATACTGCTAGAATAGATGTTGGACTCTTGAGTACGCGAGAATTCGTAGACGCGTTGGCGAAAGGGATATTATGATTAGAAGAACAAAGACATTCGTCGAGACGAAATCCAGTTAGATTAGACCCAGAGTCCGGTCTTATATATACGGTAGAAAATATCGGCATTACCTTGTTGACCGAAAACCCGAACTGCTAGGGTCAGTCCGACGAGTCGAGCCATTCCGTCTCTCATCCCGATGGACTTACGAGATTAAGCGGTTCGCGCGCCAAGTTTGATCGAGTCTTCTAAGTCTTTCATTACGGGGCAGCTGGGGAGCGTAGGATTATTATTACGGTAAGAAGTAGCCTGCGTCTTGTTTGTTAAACGAGGGGAGAAAAGAAGGCGCAAAAGGGGTCGAATTCGGCGCGGCATATATATCGCGTGTGAGTCACGTATCATTGATCAATCGAGGATACCTTTCTGAATAAGCGTATGCCAGTTCGTCGTAACTGTCCAACATTGCGTCACGTGATACTTGTCCAAAGAAATTTCTGATCTCCGAGCGACGTAAATAATAGTCGACGAATCAAATTGTATCGATTAAATATCCAAATTTAAATATCCAAATACAAATTTTACTACACAGTCTGAAACGTTATTATGAGACATTCACATTTTAATTAAAAATGATAAAAAGACACTATTCGTATCTCTATATCTTAGACGTCCTGTGTTGTGTATTAATAACATTTTCATTCACAGGTGCTAATCGAGTCAGAGCATCGTCAAATGCAGCAATAGATCATTTCGAAATTCATCAAGGTACACACATATTACAGGTAAGCTCATTTTCTTGTCATGTCACAGATAATAAATGATAATGCATTCCATGAATTAAATATTCTCTAAAATTATAATATATTATTTTTAAATATCATTACGTCGCGAGCTTTTTGTAAATTCTCCAATCAAAATTGTACAAATCAATCGAGCAAATATATGTGAAATGTAGAAAAATGATATCAGGGCCGATATAAAGATTTTCTAAAATCGATATACTTTTATTTCTCTACAATTAAATATTGTACTTTATCAAAACTGATGTGAATTTTCTTCCACAAAATTAGTTTATATATCAGAAAATCTTGTAAATAGAAGACGCAGCATTCTCGTTTATATGCTGAGTTAGATTGTCGAGAATTATTAAAGTTCACAATTTTTTGTTTCTTTAATGAATTGTATACTCTGAATAGTGGTAATAGAATAGCATCTTTTTTGTTGACAATTACGTTATATTTTACGTGTGTTTTTAAATCTGTTGCATTTCTATTTAAAAATACTTTTATTCAAGTTTTTATCATATTTCTATAGTTTTCAACAAGCATATCAATTATAAGAAATATTTCAAATATTAATCGTTCAATTTTAAAAAAGCTATTTATTTAAAAATGATTTGAAGCGATATTATCAAATCTCTAATATAATTTAAGGGAGTAATCTCCAATAAAACTGTATGGATATAAATTCTTATTTAAGACTTTTAAGTCAAAGGTTAGAACTAAGTATATCTTTTCTCCATCAAATTTTTTAATCAAAATTATTAAATATTTATCGGATACGAATATAAATATGCATAGATATATTAAAAATATACAAAAGATAATTCGGAAACGTAAGATTATCGATATTCGGGAGACTATATAAATATCCGAAAAGCTTTCGTATCCGAGAATATTCGATCCGAAGTTCCTCAAGTGTCTCATATTTTCTGTCACTAGTCCCTGGACGGCTTCGCGATGGCTGTCGCTGCTGATGGCAGATTCCTGTACATATCCGAGACCGTTTCGATATATCTTGGGCTCTCACAGGTAAGCGTGGCTCGTTGTAGCGAAATATCGATGAAGCCGGGTGGTGAAGAGACGGGTGGACGCGCACGGGTTAGAGGTGCGTGGGAGAAAAGTGATAACGATAACGAGAAAGCGAAAGCGAATAAAAAGCAACGCGGGCGCGCCAGCGTATACGAATGCAACGTGTAGCATCAGCCGGAAGGCCAGAGATAGTAGAAAGGTATAAAGGTATATATGGAGGGGGAGAGGGAAAAAGTTGACGGAAGAGAAGGAGGTTGAAACGTTGAAACGTAGTAGTGGTGATGCTGGTTGGTGGTGGCGGGTGGTGGTAGCGATGCTGGCAGAGGTAGCGAAAGAGGAGGAGGAGGAGGAGGAGGAGGAAAAGTTGATAGCGTTGTAGAGAAGAATAAGGAGGAGAGGTCAAGGGAGGAAAAGAGGAGAAGGTTGTACGAGTTGGCGGCCATACTGGCTGGCACGACGACGAGCATGACATAGACGGGGAAAAGGGGATGGGTGGATGGCGGCGGGTGGAAGAGGTGGTCGCATGCGGCTCACGTAGCCTCTGCACGGCGGCGTGTTCGCCATTCCTAATGCCGCGAGCGAGAAGGTAGACGGGGGGAGGAAAGGGAGTAGAAGCGGCGCGGGGTAAAGCGAGCGAGGTGGTACGGGAGGTGACCGGTGTACTAGCTCTCGGGTTCCTGCGAAGCTCGTGGGGCAATCAATAGGGTGTTTCGGGGATTCGGAAAACCGACGGAAAGCCGACGTTGGCACAAACATGGCTGCCGCGGCCGCGGTCGGCTTCCCCGCGCTTCTTCGCGAGAGGCACCCCCCGTGTACCCCCTCTGTCTCGGGCGATGCCGAAACATTTATAAGAGCTGTCTGGCCGGGGCACGACGTAATCTTGTCTCCGACGGAGCATTTATTCCCGATCGTGTCGAAAAATCGAAAAAAAAAATCCCATCACGATGAGAAGAAGACGGTTGCTTAATTTCAGGTAGAAATGACGGGGTCGAGTGTTTTCGATTACGTCCATCAGCAAGATCACGCCGAGGTCGCCGAGCAGCTTGGCCTGTTACTCGCGACGTCGACGAACACCTCGGGACCGCATTCATCGAACTCGGGTCTAGCCTCGCCGAGTAGCGGCGCGTCGGAAGACCATGGTTCGTCCTCTACCGCAAATCCCGACGGTAATTCTCCGCGTCATATGCGCGCATTTTATCAGTAAACACACGATACAAATAGATATTCGCGATTATTTCGAGTGAAGGTTCAATTCTCTTTTGTATTCTCAGTGGCCTCGGTAATGGCGCTAACGCCGACCGGACTCTACAAGGGATACGATCGAGCGTTTTGCGTCAGGATGAAATCCACTCTGACGAAGAGGGGATGTCATTTCAAATCGTCGGGTTATCGGGTGAGTGCAAAATATTCGCGCGTGATAATTCTAATATTCGATCGTTTTCACACATATGCTTAATTTCAGCGGCTTCATTTATATGACGATATGCAGTTACTAAAATATATTTTTATACCCGCGTATATATACAGGTTGTATTGTTGCTGTGTCGTTTGAGGCCACAGTTTGTATTTAGCCATACGAGAAAGTCCGCGCCACCCTTGATGGGCATGATCGGGCTTGCCATTGCGCTTCCACCGCCAAGTGTACACGAAATTCGCCTCGAGACCGACATGTTTGTCACACGAATCAATTTCGACTTTCGGATAGCGCACTGCGAACCAAAGTGAGTATTGTTCTTACATGTAATTTAGATATAGATGCGAATAGGGTTGCGCGAGATATCAAGACTAATTTTGATAATATTGTCTTGTCTTGTCTCGAAATTCGAAACAAGATCAAGATAAGATTTTTAATTAATTAACAAGATAATATCAAGATTAAAATCGACAAGATTATTGGTTTTTTTTAAAAAAAACTAAAATCTATATGTATTTATAAATTAAATGGAAAAAATCACTATTATACGTTTAAAAAATTTTACTTAACAGATATAAACACATTTATATTAATAAATTTAAAAGTAATTAATATAATAAATAAAATAAACGATATAAAATTGTATATAATGTTATATAATTATATCAAACTTTAAATACAATAGAGGTACACGATTCTCTTATTATGACATGAATATATTAATAAATATAATGACAATACTAATTATCTTAGATTGTTATATATCATAAAGAGTTAAATATTATTTTAAACAATTGTTCAGTGTTAGATAAAAATTAATAAAATCGAGATAAAATACAATACAAGACGAAATTTTACTGCGAAAATTCACTTAATATCAAGACAGAATTTAAATTTTCGAACATTTTCAATACCGATACAATATTTTTAAGAATATTGTCTTAAGTCTTGTGCAACCCTAGATGCGAAATACTCGATGCGAATCTTTTCCTCTCTTATTTTTTTTAAACAAATATTTAAAATATCATTCTACACATTTTCTTTCCTTATGTATAAAAAGGGAAAAAGAGGAAAAATAGAATAGATAAGATTATAAATAACGAAGTCGCTTTATAATAGGAATTTGCAATTCATGTCCTCAGGGTTTCCGATTTGTTGGACTACACGGCTGATGAATTAACGGGGAAGAATCTCTACGCGCTGTGCCACGGCGAGGACGCGAATCGTCTGCGAAGGTCTCACGTAGATCGTGAGTATATGTAATCGTCATGAATTATATATCGTCGTTATCAATCTCGCTCGTAATAAAGTCGCTAAGTACCGTTTGCACGATCGCGTAAAATCACACGAGGGGGTCTTTATTCGCGCTCCCTAATGTTTTCTGTGTAATGTTCGAAAGAACGCACCACGCGCGTGTGTACGTGAATTCCGAATAATTCACCCTTCAAATAATAATTGCGTGCACCAATGAGTACCAATTATTATATCATCTGATATTGTAATGATCATTGAACGTAACTTTTTCGCCGGTTTCCCCAACACGTTTGATGATGCGCCTCTTAACAGCCAATTAATCTGAATAAAATTAAAATAGTACGCTCGAATGAAAATTTTGAAAGAAAGGAAGAACAAGGATTCGATAAATAATAAATGAAGCAAAGTATAAAGATTAAACAAGAGACATGTAAAAGAAAGAAAGAATAGCTGCAAAATAAACTGCAAAATTTGCAAGAAATAACAACAGAATCGGACAAAGCATCGTAACAAAGATACACAAAGGATCGAGAACGTAAATTAAAATTCCGTCGCGCAAAAATCGAGAAATCTCTTTGACTATAACAAACGTAAAAATGTCGGGACGCTAAATGAATTGAGCAAATAAAAATTAAATTGTTTCAAATAACCGTAATAAAATAGCTGTTTTCTCTCGGAATAAATTCAATTTTATTTTTTTTTCCTACGCAATCTGTACCCGGAAAATGATTAACGAAACTAAAGCCGCGTTATTCATACATACGTTTTCAACAAACAAAGTCGATAGATCTGCCGCAGAATTTCTTGCTCCTATTGTTCTAGGAAAATACTTCGATGAAAGAGCGCGATGGGTGTCAAAGCTGTCCGGGAAGAGAGAAAAGCACGAAAGTATTAATACGTTGGTCTTTTCGACTGCGCGCGACCGCTTGCAGATTTAGTAAGTACGTATCTGTTTGTATTTGAACGTTTCAAATCAGAGATTATTAGCTGCGTAGGCGGGGATAATGTTTCTCATTAATTATTCGATCTCGCGTAATAACTACTGCGTGATTTTTGTCACATGTCACATATCGCTGTCTCGTTAATTGATATCATCTTCCTAATCTTCACGATAATGAGACAGTTGTGAGATTTTTTAAATACGGGAATATTAGATTTCTCTCATGAAAAAAATATCGCGACGTATTCCAACATGACTTTGTCATTTCGATCCTTTGAACAACAACAAGATATTTCTCGAGGTAGAAACGAGCGCATTGTCAAAGACAATTATACGGATAATCATCTTGTGTCCCAATCAGCTAAACAAGAAAAATATCTTCTTAACAACGAACGATTTATCTCTTGCGAGATAAAAGCTATAGACGCCGCACACTTTTAAGAGCATTATACAGAAATGGAATCGAGCATATATCCCCGAATATAAACGAACAATTAATCAGTATTCGCGATTCACAAAATGCTTATAAAATACTATTTCTCGTCGTACAAACGGTAGCTTCGACACTGGTACTTTCGAAGGAATATAAAAAAAACTTAGACAAATAAGAAAATTTATGTATTTCACAATATCGTGTCTCTTTGATCAATATATTTCAGTATGATAGATCGCGAAATCTTTAGAAAACATTTAGTTATGATTGATTTTAGTGATCCATAAAGGACAAGTACTAACGCATTACTATCGACTGATGAACAAGAGCGGTGGATACACGTGGTTGCAGACTTGCGCTACCGTTGTGTGTAATTCGAAAAATGCCGAGGAGCAAAATATCATTTGCGTCAATTATGTCATAAGGTGAGTTAGAAATAAATCAGTCAGAAACGATGGACTCGTTTTAATGTCAAATTTTATCACACCTGTCTTTCCGGTAGCGGTCGAGAATACGAAAACTTAATTATGGACTGCTGTCAGTTGGAGGACGGCGTCACCGGCGTCAAGAGGGAAGATACAGCCGGAAATGATCCGGAGAACGGATCGCCGGACGCTGACAGAGGAGGTACAAAACATTCTTTGACTTAGCGAAAAGTTACAATTTCACCGATCGTGCATCCCGGTACTCATCTTGAAGCGATATTCGTTGCGACTTTCGATTTCAGAGGGTCGTAGTCGAGGCGGCCCTACGAATCAGCATCAGGAGCAATCGCATCGGTCGCCACCCGAGGAGCGAGAGGAGAGCCACGCGTCGGAAAGCGAGAAGCGTGGTAGCCGGCATCACGACAATATAGCCCAGTTGCAGCAGCAGGAGTCATCGCAGACGGCCGTCGGGAATATTAGCACACTCGTGGTGAGACTACGCGGTCATAAGCGGAAAATCCAGGACGATGACAGCAGTTCTAACGAGGAGGAGGAGGACGAGGAGGAAGCGACGGCGGTTAAGGAGTCGAACAGCGAGAGAGCGACTCGGACCCTCAGCCCCAGCGCGACGTCCACGCACTCGATCTCGACGACTGAACAGACTCTCTGCTCGACTAGCCCAAAATCCCGTCGCACCGATAGCGGCAGGATGGATAACGGGGCCGAGAGTACCTCGGGAACCTCGGTCAAGGATTTGGAGCAGGCTATGTCGAAGCATTTGCCAGGTAGTTCGTTGAACAAGTCCAATTCCCCGGCAACCCTCCATCACCAACCGACGGACTTTAGTACGGATGCATTGCTGAAGCAGCAACAGCAACGTAGCACGATACAGTGGATCGGTGCGCATCATCATCTGGGTCATCTGAGTCCCCAGCAATCCGCGGCGGCGGCGGCGGCCGCGCCCTTACCCGCCTCCGCGCTCCTCAGGCAGCTTTACGCGGCCAACCGGGAGAGCGTGATACGCGCCAACGTGCACGGGATCACGTCAAGCAGCGGTACGCGGACACCCGCATCGACTGGTATCTATTACCCTGGCGAGACAGCTCCTAACGGACCGCTGCCCACACCGCCAGGTTCCGAAGGCTCCAGTACGTACGGTGAACATCAATTCGTGCTCGCCGCGCACAATCAAAAAGGATCCAACGGTACCAGCTGTGCCGATGCTTTCACCAGTCTCGTTTCGTCGTATACGTCCGCCACTGCGGCTGGCTACCCGGTAGACTATCATTCGGCGATGACGCCGCCGTCGTCGGTATCGCCACGGGACAAACAACAACAGCAGCAGCAACAGCAACAGCAGCAGCAACAACAACAACAACAGCTGCATTCCGTGAACGTAATAAATAGCTACGAGAACTCGTCAGCGTATACGGATCCAGTTCTCCGTCATCAATACGAACCAGCCCAGCCGTTACCTTTGAAACCTCAAGTGTACTCGGCCACTGTTCATCCGAGTGCCTTAGATGCCGCAGCGGCGTATGCCTCGGCGGGCCTGACGGAGCAGCCACAATTCTATCATCATCCGGCTGGTAGCGCCGGCTTCCATATCTACCATCCGGGCAACAAATCGACGACAAACGGCTGGTACACCTCGGCGTCCTAGTGGCCCCACTCGTAGATTGTACGCGGAACGCGTGTACTTAAGCAACTGTAATTAAATCCAAAGTCCTCTCCCTCAGTGCATATCAGTGATACGCTATCTCGTCGCTATCGCGATCGTCGGCCAGCGATCCTCGTTTCGTCGTTCGGGACCGGGAGAAGGTTCAATTTCTCGCCGATCCTCTCTCTCGACTCTGCGCCGCGCGTCCTGATGCGTCGACCGCGCTGTAACAATCGCTCTCTTCTCCATTATGTGTAGAACGATTTATTGTAATATAATGAATAAATTATTATATATATGTTGACTTCTCTCGGAGGTATCTGCATATATAAAGCATGAAGCCAACCGAAACTCATGCGTGTTCACCGTGCGTGTTCGAAGTGATTTAACGCGACGCTCAAGGAGATCGCAATATGTCTAAGATTCGCGATTTATTATATATGATATACAGAATGTCCTATTTTAAATGATGCACACGAATATCGTCAAAATTATTGATAATATCGAAAAATGTTTCAAATAAATATAAAAACATATATGATTAATACAAAAGGGATTCCATTAAAAAAAAGGAAAAAAAACAAAGTTTATCTTCATATCATTTCCACCCAACTTTTGTTTGAAACATTTTTAATATTATCAATATTTTCAAAGATATTCGTCATTTGAAATGTATGGAACAATCTGTATATTGTTAGACAACGAGAAAATAACTTCGTCTTTTCGCATCGCGTTAGGTATTATTAATCGAGCGCAATTAATCGCCGCTCGAGCGCGGTGCTTGGAATATGTTGTATCGTAATATTTCTTTGCGCGGATGATTCTCTTCATCGAAGGTGAATCGGTACAAAATCCTTACACGCTCTAAAGTTCATTCAATTCAGTGAAAAAAAATATTGACGAAATTTATCTCGGTATAGTATGAGGCGTGTTGGAGAAATAGCACGATGTATGTACTTGAGAGAAATCGCTATCTCTATCGATGTGCGCGAACTGTTTTCAAATCAATATTTAATTTGTTACTTAAATGAATATTTAATTTGTTACTTAAATTTTTTATTCCAAGTCCGACTGATCTACTCCAGACAATTTGTTGTTATACGTTTCTTGTTTTAAATTTTATACAATTTACGAAAAAGTTACCAACGATTTTTCGGATCAACTTTTCGAACTTTATATTAGAGATTTTTTGTACGAATTATTGCACGGCTCGCAAGTTTAATTATATCCAGTTTTATCGATCGTGGGATAGAAAACTGGCAAATATCAGTCAGATGAAAGACTGGCACATACGTGAAAGAATAAAACACGATATTTACATATAGTTGTGTTATAATCATGATGTTGGAAGCACACAACAGAGCAATTTGGAACACGAGTGATATTAAAAATAGACACTTTTTATTAAAATACGTACTGAGATTCTTTACTTATTAAGGACAAGAGATATTTGTATGTATATTTATAGAGAGATTGCTCTTAACTATATTACTTTTTCTAGGTATAGATTAGACAAAAATGTTAGATATCGAGAGACACGTATCGTGTAAACGCGAGATGAGTCAACATTGCGCTCTAGAGGTAGCGAATTCTTTTACGAAGGTTATTGTATTTTAATGTTTAACATTTCGACCAGTTGTTTTTGACAAGTACACGTGTAAATACAGCTTACGTGCCTAAAAGTTCATTCGCCCATCATTATTTTACTCAATTTTCATTCTATAGGCTTTCGCCAATTTAGAATTTCATACAAAATATATTCGTAAGATTATTCGCGAGAATTTTTACAGCATACAAATGACAAAAACTTATTATATGTTTCACATTCTATTTAGATGCAGCAGCGACGAGACGAATCCGGATATAAATTTGCGTAAGTAATTAATAAATAATGTTCAATGTCGGTAAGTAATATCAAAGCCGAATATTCTTATACAGTTTGAGAATCATTCAGAGTAAATTATCGATATCTCTCTCATTTCTGTATAAAATTTATAAATTTTCTTGAATGCGCATTTAAAAATATATTTAAAAAACACAAAGAACATACAAAACTTCAGATGATTTATTTAAATCGATTTCATTTTCTTTTATACTCTCGTATAAAAAAAAGATATATTGTATTATTGAGATTATTTTTTTTAAGCCTGAGTATCATATATATTGCGATATGTTCGTACAGAAGTGTGTTGAATACATCTTTGTTGATTTCGTGCCTGTTTAGCGTCGTTGTACAAGAGATATCGATTTTTAATAGCAAAAAGTAATACGAGTATGCTGTTTTGTATAAAAATGACTTATATACATTTTCATTGTGTATTACATTAGCAATGCTTAGCATATAATTACTATTATTATATTATTATTATTATTTTTGTTTTTATTATTTAACTATTACATTACTATCTCCTTAATGCTATATTAATATTAAATTATTACATGAATTTTTGCAGATCTATTGATAAAAAAAGTAAACATCTGTAAAATATAATCATATAAACGAGTGAAAAAAATAAAATAAAAAAAAGTGTTAAACGCACTTTGGACGGTAGACATTACAACTAATACTGTAAATTGTTGAATGAGAAAAAAAGAAAGAACAAAATATATATTTATATATAAATGTAAATAATCTATCTTTGTAGAATAGAGATAGCTTTGTACATGTAGAATTTACTTATATTACATAGAACTCTCTTTTATGCCCGATCGTAAAGATGTATATAAATTGGAACATGTAAGATACATACTCCAGTGAAATTATATATCATAGAGTTAATTGATTTCTCTCTTTTTCTCATTGGCATATAACGCAAGAAAAAACATTCGTTTCCTATCCATATTCATTCTTTAAAAGATAATTAACAACAGAAATTGATGAGATTTCGGCAGTCATATTACATTGTGAAGAATTGCGAGTAATGCATAAAGAAATAATATGGAATGAACGCCGCATGAGACAGAATCCTGGTTGACCAAAATTCAATTTCCATTCTGTGAAATTTAATTTTAATTTTAATATTAAATTATTTTTTCTATTGTATCTAAAAGTATACAAAGTAGCATAACACAAATTATCTTAATTATTACAAAAATTATGGAAGATAACAGCAAATTTTTCTTTAGCTTTCCATTAAATCCTTTATGAGATAAACAGTTCTGCTGTCTTACAGAAGGGCATCAAATATAAAACTAATCTTTAGATAGGTCTAAATTTAAAATAAAAACGAGCGAATAAGAGCCAAACACGGATGGTAGTGCGTAAAATTCTTAAACATTAATTGTTCGCGAAAAATTTGCTCAGTGGTAAGAGCAGTCGCCCGGCAAGCGAAAGACTCAGGTTCGTTTCCCGATTCATCGACTTCGCCCCGATATTTTTCTTGTCTACATCTCTTCAGGGTAAAGAGGGTTTTATATAGATATAGAATTCTCAAAAATGAGAATTCATATCTTGGTTTATACATCAAGTAAAATATTTGTATATATGCCTATTGTGCACGTTAAAAATTTTTCGCGAACAATTAATGTTTAAGAAATTTACGCACTACCATCCGCGTTTGGTTCTTATCCGCTCGTTTCTTAAGTATCGTATTATTAATTACATAGAGCCGAATTCTTTATCAATTTATTTAAAATAGAAATATCAAAGAGAGTAAAATACAAATACTGCAATTAATAATATATTAATAATTAATATATTAATTATACAATTTATCAAAATTATAATTAAAATAAAGCTATTACGAATTTTATAATGGAATTCACCAACGTTTAGTTTTCTAATTGGTCAGCTCTCTTTTGGTTTCTGTCTCTGGTTATGATACACATATCGAGTGTGTCTCTGATACAAAATTATAAAATGTAAAAATAATAATTGAACGGAGCAAAAGAGACATTATCCTTATTGAGAAATGTTTATATATAATATTTTAGATTAAGTTAATGTGTACTCCTTTCTCCAATACTTACATTTTTAATGTGTGATACATTTCAACACATTTCAGATGAACCATTCTTTTTTCTTCTGAACTTGATGGCCTGTGGTAGAATGTACAACTGCTGAATCCGGATCTAAAGCTATCTCAGCACCTTTGTCCTCTTGTGTCAAGTATTCACCTTTATGCCTAGACAGATATCTACCTATGAGGATTATCACAATCACGAGTGCAATTAGAAGAACCGCTATTACGCTCCCTAAAATGGCTGTGTCAGTCTCGTTGTACGCAGCTCTCACTTTTTCTTCGTCCACTTGTGGTGGTGGTCGCGTTTCGACGATATCCGGCGGATGCGTGATCGGTTCGACTCCACAAAAGTCTTCAGTTAATGGAGTACCGAGCGAACGTACATTGTCGGGTCCATTTTCTTGAAAGAGTAGTTTTAACGGATATATATCATCAAACTCGACTCTCGATAAACAACCCGCGAATCCCTCCGGCATAGATTCGTTCTTGCCGATATACATGTATTGGATATTGTTAAATTGTGCATCCGCGGAATTTTTTATATTAAAATCGAATTCTCTCGGTTCGTAATTGTCAATTTGCATTATCAAAGTCGCGCCTGAATTTTTCCGGCCGATCCGGACGTCGTGATACTGCCCTAAACCGAAATGCTTGTCCGGAAATATGACTTCTTGTCGCTCGAAACCAAAGTCAAATACTACGCGTAAATGTCCGCTATTTGAGACCATTATAGTCATATACTCTCCCGAGATATTGGAGAAGAGACCAAGTAAAAATCCTTTTGGATTTGTCGTCGTGAAACCAACGCGTATGTTCTCAGCGATAGTGGAACGCCAACTGCCCATGAAGTCATATTTTATCATCGAACTCGGTCGCATGTTTACACCAATCTCTGAAAATAATCAGCGCATTAACCAAAATTAATAGATTTAATATAGATCGCATTCTATATTCAAGTATCTTCTATACTTACCGTCTGCACAGATGGGTCCTTTAAATGCCGTCCATCGACAGTCGCACCAATATCCATCATACTTTTCATGGCATGTACCATTATTGAGGCAAGGACTACTTTCGCATCTGCCCGTACAACCTTCGGTAACGCCATATAATCCACGCCGGGCATAACTTCTTAAATCCTGCAATTGACCATTGAGAAGCAGCGCTCTTATGCAACCAACGAATCCATCCCTGTAATCGGCAGCGGCCCCCACCACGAGATCCGAGGTGAGATGAAGCGCTCGCACAGGACCTGGTGGTTCTCGTACTTCGTTCTTCAATGCTCCGTCAATAACAATTCGAGCTTCTTTACGATTTCTTTCCACCGACACGGAATGCCATCTATTATCCGCCAGCTTATAAGACGTTTGCACACTCACAGTAAGCGGCCCGCCGCCAGCCACGTACTGAAAATTTATCTGGTTTCCAGTATTTATGGAAACCTTAATGTAATCAGTAGGTCCTCTACTGTGAATTATCACAGCATCTTCGACAGTAGTTTTGAACTCGAAGTAAATGTCACCACTGTGCCCAATATCAAATGTCGGAAGATTGATAGTAGCATCCACAATGCGGAATGTGACTACATTTTTAAATAAGTCTGCAATGTAAAATAACAGCGATGATGTATATTTTATTTATGCCATCAAAAATTAATTTAATAATGAATTTTATCGATATTCTCTATATCTATTGTGAAATGGAAAAAAATAGTTGGTAAACTTACCGTCACCCTCACAAATAAGCGGACCTAACGTATAACGACCCTCTTTTTCGTCAAGTGGTGTACCCGTATCGCCAAAACGTAATTGTTTGACAGGAAGATATTCTTTCTCCGTAATATCGCCACCGTCTTCCAACCATCCTTCCAATCCAGCATCGCAGTTACACCACTTGGTAGGATCCGCACAGTTCCCAAGTATACCACACTCGCATTTTCGCGATCCGGGCAACGCACCGCCCCAGTAATCCATCTTTTGATTATTCCGACTCACCCACCATGAGTTCGGATTAAACTGAATACCTTGAGGAACTGAAAATGTAATTTCAAAAGTTAATACAAATACAAATGAAAGTACAACACGTGAGATAATTAAATATGTAAATACCTGGGGAATTAAATAGCTTGGAATGTTTACATGCATAATTTATTCTTTGTCTGCAATTTATAGATCTGTTTAATAAAGCTTCTATTTGGTCGAGATCAGCATCGTAATTAATATCCTGTATAAAACTGCCAGGTTCCTCGAATCCATCGACAGGAGTTAAATATTCATTACTGTGACGTAAAACTGTCATTACGCGGCCATTAGTAAAGAATTCGCAAGTGACAGGAAATGGTTTCAAAGGTCCGCTCCCATCCACATCAATTTTAATTTCTGCACGTTGATTTACCGCATTCATATTCTTATATGCCTCGCACGATAAGGGATTTAATGCTGTGTAGAATTGTAATATTAACTTTAAAGAAATATATCTTACATTACATATTATTGAAACAGATCGAATACTTACAGGTGTGACAAACGGCACCCGCATATCCAGTATTAGCACAATCGCAAAAGAATTCGTCAGAATTTTGACGACAAACACCAGAGTGCTTGCAAGGATTGGGATTACAACGATCTACCATTTGACAAGTGTCGAAGACGATCTCGTTCTTACAGCAATACTCTTCCTCCTTCCAGTCGGTCGGTAATTTATAATTCCCATCGACACTTATCATCCTCATACAACCAACGAAACCACGATTGCTCCCGGCGCCGATCATACCGCCGATCAAATAAAATGATCCAGTCAACATATCGAGGAGACGCTCAGTTTTCATTGGCCGCCCATCGACATTTAAGATGAGAGAATTTTTGGCAATTGTCAAAATTATTTGGTGCCACTTTCCATCGTTGAATTTTTCATAAAAGTTATCTAGAGTTGCAATTGGGTTATCCCTTGTCTTTATGTCGACCTTCAATTTACCCTCTTCTAGGTATAACTATTCAACAAAAATAAATTTAATTGTATTTACTAATAGAATTTTATTTTAGATTTTAGGTTTGCTTTAATGAAGATGAAGACAACCTTAACATGGCCCGGAGTCGTAAACTGATGGTAAAGAATTATTCCTCGCTCTTCGTAAGTTCGAAACGCGAGAGAGACGTTCAGAGATGGTATACCTTCATAACCCTTCAGTCTAGCGAAAGAGCCAGGAGTTAAAAACGTGACAGGTATCACCGGAGGTTCCGGACAACTATAGAGCGTATTGATTCTATAGTATCTCAGATTCTCATCTGCGATTTCCGTTTCCTTCATCTCATGAATTATATTCGTCGAGTTTAAATAAAAATTTTCTATACAACCAGTAAAATTCTGGTTTACCACTAAACCATCTTGCTTGTTGGGTACACCACCAATGTAAAGCTAAAAAAAATTCATTTGTTTTAATCCACGTACACCTAATATAAATATTTGAAATATTTTACATTTATTAAAAAAGTTAATCACTTCTCTGTTTAAATCCAATCGATGAAATTCTCCTTTTATTCTACCTTTGATTAGTACTCTATCAACAGAGAAGGAAATACTTTTCCTATTTCGTGAAATTAAGACATCATGCCACATATTGTCATCCAAAAGACTGCCAACCGATAGACTCGTCATAATACCGGATCCGAGATCAATATTAAGCAACATTCTATTGTCCCGCAATTGCAAGGCTATATAATCACCTTGCGTACCACGAGAATACATTAATACACCATCGGCATTATTTGTTTTAAAACGGAATCGCATAAAATGTCTATCGGTCTCGACAGGCTCCCTTAATAAATCCAGCCGTACAAGAGACGATCCATTAAAGGAGACAACATCAGATACTGAAATAACAGATAATTTAGATATATTGCATATTTAAAAAACAAGTACAAATATGATTATTATTATTTCATATACCATAGTCGCATCCATAGAGTTCAACTCTCAGCGATATCCTGTCCCGCCATCGTGTTGGATTTATTCTTATCCACTGTGCGATTATCGGTACCTCGAATTTATTAAGTTTTATTCTGTCTCCATCTACATTACCTTTAAACATCTGTAGAAAAAATGAAATTTAAATGTTAAATGATGCTACTTTACTATTACTAAATTGATATTTTCCGTTTTATTTCAGTGCCAATCAATAATTAATGCCGCGACAATAATGCAGAATATTATTAAATTGAATACATGCTATAAGTTAAAAGTAGGTCCTACTAAAGAGGAATTCTGTACAAAGAACTGTTAAGATTAATTTCTTAAATTTACATTATTGAAGAATACCATTTGATTTTTAGATCAGTTTGAAAATCCTATATATTAAAGAAGTAATCAAATTGCTTTGATGACCTCTTTATTTGATTATATATTACATGCACAAACATTCATCAAGCAAAATAATAATTATTGAATAATTCTTATCTCCTCAATCTTGAATAATGAATGCAATAAATATCTCTTCCTCCCCTTCCCAATTAATATTAATTGCACAAACATGTTAGTATAGCTAGACTGTTAGTGATAAGAGACGTAAAAATGGATATATAATAATACTAAAAGCTATAGATATAATATCATTAAAATTGTCGAGAAGCAAAACATTTTTTGATTTCTTTTAATAGATTTGATAAATTTAATTTCTATAATTTTTCTGTTTGAATGTTAAAACTATTAATAACTTTATCATTGAATATATACGTTCAAAATTCATTCTCTCTAATATTCCCATTTTTAGAAAAACAAAAGGACTCTTTTAACGATACAAAAGCAAAGGAAATGTTCTATTTATAAATCTACCTATAAATTTATAAATAGATTTATAAATTTATTTATAAATTTTATCTATAAATTTTAACGAAAATTTTAAAGAATTATTCTTCTCGATTATCATAATAACATTATAACTATATCTAAATTTTCAAATCCCAATAGCAATGATTAAAACAGAAGATTCCAAACAGTATCGTTCAAAACATGAAAGATTTTTATACAGCAAAACATTTCGTTAATGCAATATTGTACAATATTTCTACAAAAAGAGAAATAATTAAGAAATTTTATAATACGTTGTTATTAGAGTATATAGAAGAATGAGAAGAAATTACATTTTTTGTATACTTGCTTAAAAATTGTACATTATATCTGTCTAAGAAAATTTTTAAGTATACTAAGTAAAAAGAGATAGCTTATATATTACAATTTAATAATATTATCAAAAAATATATATATATAGTTTATATCTCTACACATATACAAATATTAATACATATTACATTTTGCATATTTGCATAACATATTTCTCATATATAATTTAAAAATGTTGAAAAAGTATATTTCTCTATATATATAAATAGAAGAAATTTTAGACTCGATCCGTGAAGTTAATACCTCATCTTCACCATCCTGGGTTTCATAACTGGCCCAAGCTTGACCATCATCAGAATATTGGATAATGTATTCTGTCACGTATTCATTAGTATGAGCCCGCCCTCGCGTAGCAATGCTGCGTATCTCATATCTGTCCCCCAACTCCATAGTAAGATGTTGATTGTAACTGCTAAGTACTGGTGACCACGTGGAATCTCCTGTAAAGCCCAGCTCCATGTCCATGTGTAAGAGAAGAAAGGAGGAAGCAAAGCAAGCAAACGGATGTAGGAATAGTTAAAGGACAATGAATTTAGTTTATTTTGTGCTAGTTAATCTGTTCAATTATAAAACTATATCTTTAATTTTTGCACTCAATTATACTGTAAAATATTCTTTTCAATATATCTCATTTTGCATTCGAATGTATTTACATGTGATATTAAGAAAAATAAATATCGAAATGAGATAGAAGAAAAAAATAATTGGTGCAAAGTATTCTGTGGTATAAGTCTATATAAAGCACATCAAGATACTTACCGATAACAAACCTGATTATATATCTTTTATTTGTGATATGAAGTTTTGTAAAATATATATAAAACTCATACACTTATTCTATATATAGATTATTACAATACCTATTTACATAAGCGTGCATAAGTGAGCCTTGCATTGTTAGCAATTTCACGCATATTAATTAATAATGCCATGCCTTATTAGAAGCAAAATGAAGATTAGAAAAATTAACACGACAGCGAGAACGAGTTTACCTTTGCGTGGCCATCTTCTTCCTTGAAATCCACATAATCGAGGCCGTTGGTGCCATAGCCAATACGATATTCCATAACATATTCATTCTGCAACGATCTGCCCTGAGTCGCTATGGCTGTGATGTTCATCACTTGGCCCAGATCGATTATTAAATACTGACCGAAATCGGAGCTGCTAGCCGTCCATGCGTTTCCGCCTACACCACAACATTTGTGCATGCATGCAACTCAAAGTAAACTTAAGGGAGAGCGCTTACAAATAGGGGGACAGAACATAGCCAAATAATTAGAATTAAAAGTATTTTGCTTTTATATTCAGAGATCAATTTATATGATTGTACTAAAAACTGGATTGTACTAGAACTGTTACTGCAAATTCAAACTTTTTAAAGTACAAAGTAGGATGCAGAAAATTTTTTATTCATTGTTTATTCATTTTTTATTCATATAATAATTTCTCTCGCACAGAAATACTAAATAATAATTTTAGAGAAGATGGATTCAAGATAATTCAAAAGAATTCATTAACACAATTACATTCTACAATACAAATACTTATAATACAATTGTATAATTTTTAAATCTATGTGACACAAGTCAGATTTTTTTGCTCTTATTATTTTATACATACAAAGATACATTAATGTACTTTTTTTACAACTTAACTTTTATTGCAATATAAATATAGAAAGAATAATATATAAGTTGTTCAAAACTTATCAAAAGGTAAGTAAAAAGATAGAAAAATATTATTTAACTCTTTATTATTTTATATGATTAAACTAATATACAAAATATATTATATATCCATCTTTTAATATTAATATATTAAGAAATATTATCCTTCATATAGTATTTCAATTATTCTATGAATAATCAATAAAGTTGTGGTTTTTCAGATTTAGCGAAATATTGAGTCGTGTATTGTGGATCTAACGGAAAGAGTGGAACTGCATGTGCTATAAGTTTATCAAAATTTATTATTTCAAACAAGGTATTATGTAATTGTAATGAATTATCATTCTCCTGCAACGCGACGGCAACACAGTGCTGTGAATCGAGTAAAGTTTCTTCAAACAACCAATTTTGTTTGATTCCATCAATATATAAGACTGTGTCAGTTGTAATCGAATCTTCGCTTAAGTCCGAATTTGTTCGAAAGTCAATATTCCTTAAATCAACAACAATCCCCATACCAAGTGCTTTAACGTAACTCTCTTTTAATGCCCAATGTCTACAAAACATAGATATTTGTTCTGTTTCAGATTTTTCTAAAGCAGAACCTCTGATCTCTTGCCACTCCGCTGATGAGAAATTGCTATTCATTATACGAAAAAATTCGGAGATACTTTTGCCTCCGGTATATTCCAATGCCATAACATCTACACCTAATCTTATATCTCTAATCTCGCCCGCTAAAACCGTATAAGATCCTTGATGAGAAACATTGAAACTTACAACAGTAGACTTATTTTTTAATATGGGTTTGTTGTTTTCATCTCTAATGAAAACAATTTTATCATATGGCAGACCCGTGTACTCATTCACAAATTTTCTCATTAATAATCTACCTACAAGGGAAGCTCTAACATCTTTACGAAATACGAATTTTCCTAATCTGGTCTTTTCATCGTTTTGTACACAAGAAATTGCATATTCAAACTCTCGCTCGCTCGGGTTCCACTCTTTCCAATTAAATGCCCACCGAATAGCTGATGACATTCTAAAAATATTGGTATTACGCATAACCGATTATTTAATCACAGTTTGCACATCCCATGTACTTTTTGTCTATTTTATGACTGCAATTGGTACTTTCTTAAATTATCTCTGATTATAAAAACAATGTTTTGCAAGGTATCTCGTTTGAGATACTCTCCAGGCTACTTGCTAGGATCCACCTGAAGCAAATATAAATTTATTATACTGTGTTTATTGCTTGTAATCTAAGAGATTATATCATCTATAGTATTTGTCTTTAAAGTATATGTAATAAAGATAAGATGAGTATAAAATGATTGAACAATGTGTCATAGATGGCACATATGAGCTTGCTTAATTCTCATAATTGAGCTTAACTATCATGGTAGGCAGTGCCTATCGACAGTAATTAGGTTTTTAACTCTTACCAGAATTTATTGGAAAATATCATATAGTATTAGCAGAATCATTGTAACTATTATTAATGCAAACAGAAGCAAATATATAGTGCATAATGTAGATAACAATAGATTTCATAGATATAGAAAGCAAGCAACAAACTACTACTAGTAGCATAATTCTATGCTATATATGTATATATAAACAATTGGACAATATTTCACGTCTAAATTAAATATGACGCATGAAAAGAGAATAGAAATTAAAATACTCGAATGTCTTTTCTTACCATTTAGCCTGGCATTCTTTGGACCTCTTTCGGGCAAGGAAGAAGTTGCTGTTAGTTGAGCTCTATCCAAAAGAGGAATGTAGCATTCGTCGTCATCTAAGACAGAATTGTAATTTTGTTAAAATGTTTGTTGAATTTTGTTAATCTTTGTTTATCTTGTTATACAGAAAGATTTTTTCTTAGTGAAATATATACTATTAGAATATAAAATTTTTGAAATTATTCTACAAATATAAAGACATTATAAAGTTATTTGCACACTTGTTTAAATTATTCTAAACTATTACTGAAATAAAATAAAATACATAAAATATGATATTTTCATAATTAAACTTTATAATGAAAGATATGCTTTTTTTATCAAATCAAATATATGTATATTAATCATTGACTCTACATGCATTAACATATATTGCATAATATATGTTAATGCATGCAGAGCCTGATTTTTTATAATAACAAATAGATGAATAGAAAGTAGAAAATAATAGTTATAAAAGTTTGCAACATGTATAGTCTGTATTACAAAATAGAATAACAATAGACGCACAAAATATTACGAAAGGACTATCTAGCGTGTGTAATAGCGTTATGCATCATCACTCGCACGCCATGTTACATCGAGATGGGCTGGGTCGGGTGGGTTGTGCCAGGAAGTCGCACTATAGCGGTTATGCACGCTACCATACTTACAGGCGAATGAGGTTGCCACCACGGCGAACGCGTACACGAGACACCTGAGAGCGGTCATCGTACCATCGCCTTGCACTAGGAAACGTCTCTACTCTCCGGGAAATCCTCAATTGATGTCTCGATCGTCGGTAGATTCGGCGAGAATGACAAGATGCCAAGATGCCACTCACGCACCAGTCGTTCTCTATTTATTTCTTCGTCACCTCTACACTCGTCGATTACCAACACGCGTGTGTCGAGAAAAGTTATACTGTGGTTATACGTCGAGAAAATTTGTACTCCACTATGCGAGGGCGATCCGCTTCCGAAATTTTCGGAGCACGATAACAGCGCGTCAGCGCGTGCATCAGTCGGTGATGCTAGTCAATGGCCGCATTCAGCGGACTCAACAGTTGGGCAACATTCCTAGATTTTCCGATGTAACTCGACGCTGATTGGTCGGACCTGAAAGTAGAGACCAATCATATTCGATTGCTACTTAGCGGTTGAGTCCGCTGAATGCGGCCAATGCCAGTCAGACAGAGGGCGTATCGCTTTTAGGCCCGCTTCCACAATTCGAGTTGTGGAATCGGGCCTTAAGGCATTACCTAAAAACGAGCTCTCATTGGCCGCATTCAGCGGATTCAACAGTTGGACATTACTAGATCTTCCGATATAATTCAACGCTGATTGGTCGGACCTGAAAGTAGAAACCAATCATGTTCGATTGTTACATAATGGTTGAGTTGCGCTAAATTAACATCACTAGAAATGGCGGGAATTGCTATTTCTCTCTGGGATTGTTTCTGTTAGTAGCATCTAATACAAAGCATGATAAATTGTGATTAAAATGGATTATACGGCACGCAAACGTCATACAACTATCATAGATACGAATGGTCGAGAAAATGATTATCCTCATGATATCCAAATGTACAATGTGCCTCCAGTGGGTGAAATGTCATTGGAAGAGTTTCAAGAGTTGGGCTTTGACAGATTAAAAGGTGACTTTTTAATATCTTAGGATCCTTTTGCAAATGCAAATGTTAAGATAATAAAATTAAATTATTGTCAACTTTGTTATAGCATTACGGTTGGTTGAGACAACAAATTGTAGAAGTGATCTAAAAACATTGGAAGATCGCAAGAAAGCTCTATGTGATTCTTTAAAATCTGATGGACTGAAATACTATGCAAATCTACTGTATGCTGATGGATCTAATCCACAGTCAGAAGAACATTTACAAACCAGGAGGAAAGATCACATATCGCATTTTATTTTGAGACTTGTATATTGTCACGATATAGAACAATCTAAATGGTTTATTAATCAGGAGGTTGAATTCTTCAAGTTAAGATTTAGTTCCTTAGAAAAGAAGGGGATTGAATATTTATTGAATATTAGTAACTTGGATTGCTTACCTGTATGTTTTATTAATGCCTTTCTTATAAGATTACAATGTAATATATTCTAACTTAGTGATTAATATTCCTTAAGATTTCGCAAAATGAAAAACTGGAAATGAAAGAAGAACTTAGTTTATCATCTGGGAAGGTTACCAACATAGATATCGTGGATATTTATAAAGTACCTTTTGAAAAAGTCATTGATTTAGTCAGAGGACGTAAAATATATCTTAAAGCAGGGATGGCATATGTCACTCATATGGATTTAAGTTCAGTATTCATCTGTTATTTCAGAGAGAATCTAATTGCAGGATTAGAGGTATAAAATTTATATTTTTATATATATTTAATTTGAAAGAAAGAGATTAAATTCAATTAATTTGTATTGTATATTTTGCAGAATGCAAAGATGCTGTACGATAATATATCTGATGATGAAAGATTGACCAGATACTTAACAGGTCTTCCTTCAGCTTTCTCTGGAATGGCACGTGTCGTGTGGTCAACCACAACTACACCCATTGATAAACTACATGATGTATGAATCTGATCAGCATTCAAATTAGAAATTTTATTTTTTAAATTTATCTGATTTTTTATGTATATATATTGTAAAATTTTCAGTTATCCAAAACATCATATCCATTATGTATGAGAACACTTCATGAAGCACTTTGCACCAACAGCCATCTGAGGAACTCAGGACGTATGCAATATGGGTTATTCCTGAAAGGTATAGGTGTGACTTTAGAAGATGCTCTACATTTCTGGAGAGATGCATTTTCGAAAAAAACAGATGGGTCTGCATTTGACAAAAAATATGCATACTCTATTAGGCACTACTATGGTAAAGAAGGAAGACAGACAAATTATACACCGTATGGCTGCCAGAAAATTATATCTAGCTCTGTCGGACCTGGAGAATATCATGGATGTCCCTTCAGACATATGGATCGCGATTCGTTGTGCCAAAAGTTAACTAGTTATGGAGTATTTGCCTCTAGTAAGAGATACAATCTTAATTTTCTTTCTATTGTAAAAACTTTTTATATTTAAAACTTGCATTAATGTATTTTAGATATGACAGAAATACTGGACTTTGCCAAGGATGCACAATATCATTTAGCATGTGCCAAATATTTTGAAGTTATCCACAACAAGCCAGCAAGCAAACCACTTCTACATCCAAACGCATACTTTGCCGAAAGTCGTGCAATTTCAACTGAAGATGATAGTAATGGAAAAGGTAAAAAAATTAGGAGAAATAATATATATATTTAAAAGTGATAAAAATGCTCATAACATTTTATTTACAGATTTCGACAATAAAGATAAATTCTCTCAAAATGCAATTGGAACTCCTGGAGGCCTATCTTCAAGAAAAAGCGATAGATATTCTACGCCTTCTAGAAATTCGGATTTCACTGGTACACCAAAGAGAAACAACAAATTCAGTACACCTTCAAGAAATATAGACACAATCGACACACCTTTAAGAAAAGTTCAGAAAACAAATTATACGCCTTCAAAGAAGACTAAAATGACTCCAGTAAATATTGCGGAAATGCTAAATGATGATGATTTTACAGATTTTATGGATGTAGATTTAATGGATCAAAAAAGTTAGCAAACAACTGCTCTATAAATTTATTCTGTATAATTATACAGAATAAATTTATTGCTATGCATATTCTTTGGTTTTACTTTACAGAATTTATCCAACTATATATTTTTTATCCTATTTATTAATATTTTTATGAATAATTGTTCGACCTCATAATAAATATTGTGCTTACAATACATGTAATGAGGATATACACATCAAATGTGCGTGTTTTGCATGTTTTTGATAATTAACGACATTAATTACTGATTTTTTTCGATCAAAATTTCAGTAGCCGAGTGATACAAAAGTTCGCAAAGCGTGTGCAACAATTCAAAGAAATAACATATAAGTCTTATACAATTATACGTAGCTATTGACTTCTTTTAAACGATGTTTCGGTAGAAAATTGTTGCTAACATCTTTCACCATCGATTTCACTAGCCTCTCTAGATCGTACTTATGCTGCCAACCCCAATCATGTCGTGCTTCGCTATCATCGAAAACCTGTGGCCAATTTTCAGCTAAAATCACACATCAAAGTATAATGAAATTTTTAATTTTTAATATCTTCATACATGTGTGCTACATACGTACCGATATATTGTCGTTTATCTGGCTTATAAGTAATTTTTAAATCTGGAATATATTTTAAAATTTCATTGAACAGTTCCTCGGGCGTGAAGCTCATGGCTGTGACGTTATAAACTCGTCTACGGAGTAATTCGTTGGGTGTATTTAAAAACTGAAAGAGTGCCGACAGACAATCTTCAATGTACATCATCGGTAATCTAGTGTGAGGTTCCAAGTAACATTCATACCTCTTGTTCAACAGTCCTTCATGGAATACCGCTACAGCATAATCTGTGAAAGATATAAAAGAGAAGAAAAGATTATTGTTACATGCATTGAAATATTTAAAATGCGTTGTCTGTTGAAAAATGAATAAAACAAGGAATGTAAAATTTTTTAAGAAACAGAGGTATATCGAAATTTTAAGTCGCTATTCTTAAAAAACTTGTAGCCGCTCTGATGATTTATTTTGCTCTCCCTCTTTCTGAATTTATATTTTTATTTTTCTTATTATTCCAGTCTACGCGGTTAATGTTTCTCTAGAAAAACAGTTCATGAGAGATGATTGTTTTCTGTCGATTTGCAGGAAAAAGACGGATGATTGAATAAATTATGCATTTATGTAAAAACATGTTTTTATCACATCTTGTCTCAATGTTAATGTGCGAATACTGATTCTTTATGCATCGGAAATTAAGAAAAACGGGAAAAACGATTTCACAAAGCAGATATCAGACTCGATTATTTATGAATAGCATTGTCCTTGAGAAATGATATATACACATAATTTAACATTATGCAGTTAAGTTAATCACGATTGATGCTCTAGTTCTTCACAAAAAAAGGTAAAAACTCCTATCAATTTTCAGTTATCAACCTTGTATGTGATATTAAGCGTTCCTTAAGCATGAACACGATTATCTTGCTACGAATCGGGAAACTTGAACACGCAAGGATCGCACAACGAATTTTAGTTGAAAAACATCGTCTCAATATTTAAAGATGCAAACATGTAATTACATTGCCTGAGAGAAAAAGGAAAAAAGCTATACAAGATATTTTTATTCATTTTCTTTAATTTTTGATGCATAAAAAATTATTATTTATATATTAATAAGACAAATTGTAATTAATAATGTTGAGACAAAATAAAAAGCATGTTATTCATTCAATTATCCATCTATACGACTCACGCTACGCCTTTATTAAGATTGCCTTTGATAATTTTAGATTGAATTATATTTAAAAAATAATTTAGTTAACATAGTTAACAAAATCTTTATGATTAACTATCTTTTAACTTTATACATTAGAGATAATCGTGTGAAATGTCTTAATAAGGAGTATCCTCACCGGTGGTACCACCGCCAGGTGGATCGCAACTAATTACACCAGGGAAACGAAGACACCGAAAATCGAGACCAAATCGATGATGATAATATTCTCCTAGGAGCTCGGCGTGGACTTTGCTGACACCGTAAATCGTACGTGGTCGTTGCACTGTAATATTTGGAGTCGGATTCCTGGGGGAATCTGGACCGAACGCACCGATTGTCGATGGTATGAAAATCCTCAGCTTGTATTGTTTCGCTAACTCGATAACGTTGTGCATTCCTGTCACACACAGGTGAGGAAAAATAATAGATCTTTAAAATATTTAATATCGATTGTGAAATAGTTTTGATTTTTTTTCAGATATATCTATGAATCACAGAGAGTACGCGATATCATCTATCGCATTCCAACAATTGCTTGTCCACTTTCTCTCCCGAACACTTTCTTCCCTTCGCGAGTGCGTTAGAATTATTATAATGACAAATTCACTCGTCGACACAACATTCCATTTCACTTGGACGCAGTGCGCAGAAAGCTAAACATCTCATGCGAAAAACTTGCGCCTTCTATTAAGTGAAGCAAAAAAGTACAAAAAAGTATTTTCCTATAAATAATAAGATATCAAGGAAGGACACATATTTCTATGCTTTGGTATGTTAAAAACTATTTTTATTCCAAGTACTGTTAAACTTCAAATAAATTTTACTGTTGATTCTTCTGTTCTCTATCTATCTAGAAGAATAGAGACAAGTGGATTATTTAGCTTTTCTTACCTTCGATATTGACTCTGACAGCTAATGGTACGTTTTGTTCACCGACAGCGCTAAGTAGAGCGCTGAAGTGGATGAGCCAGTCGATCCTATAATCGACGACGATTTTCTGTAGACCCTTGAAGTCGAGGATATCAGCAAAGATGAAGGGCCCGTTCTCCAGACTTTCCTCCGTCGGTTTAATAATATCCGACAGTATAACATTCTCGTTACCATAATTCCGACGAAGTACCTTTGCGCACTCTGTCCCTAATTGTCCAAGGCCCCCTGAATAAAAATCGCATTCGTTCGACGAAGACAAGTTTTGCACTTATATCACAAACGCGAATGAAGTGTAATATTTGTCCTTGTGTAACACTTTTTGATAAGATCTCAAGTTATAAAGAGGGAATTGCGTGCGTTTTATCTTTTAATCATAGCATCAATTAGGTACAAATTTGTCGAATTATGTAAATTATAGAATAATTCATCAAAAGCAAATATATTATATTTAATCACGCTTACCTGTTATCAGTATCTTCGGTGATTTAATTGCATTATTTGTATTAACGTACTTGGTGCGTTCGTTTTTACTGTAACTAGGATTATCGGATATGTGAAAGCTCTTGCAAATGTTTTTCGTGAAGCAATACGAGAATCGAGTGATACTTTTACACAACATTATTTTATAAAATAATGCAGCACAAAAGATCTTGCGATCACAATACTATTATATTGATTATATTTATATTGATTTGATTCTAGTTTTTATGATTTTAAACTATTTTCCACGACAAATCTTTTTTTAAGAAATGAGAGAGATACATAAAAAAAATGTCATTTCACATTTCATTTCAGAGTATTGCAAATTGTAAATCTACTATACATTAAGAACGAGTAATTTTATTGAAAAAGAAAAGTAAAGAGGAGGAATTTAATACTTCTTCGCTGGTGGTTGATAAACAACTGGTGCCTTGAGCAATATTTCTTATATCACAACTTGTTTTCAAAACCAGTTAGAACGGATGCTGCGTGATCGGTATGTATATTTGTGTTGCTGTATTTTAAATGCTATATTTAATGCTATATTTAATGCTATATTTAATGAATTGAGAACGTACGGAGGATGTTCCTATGTCTGCCTTAGAAACTTACCCAGTATATACTCAAAATATTTCTTATATTATGAGTATATTTTTAGAATATCTTAAGCATATTTTTACATTAATAAATTGTTTATAAATATAGAAGACAGTTGAACTATACGTAGAATAAAAAATAAATTCTTCATATAAAAAATAAATACGTTCTCAAAATATCATAGTACATATATCGAATATTATTGGGATATACACAATCTACGTTTGTGATATACTGAGTACAATATTCAGGATCTGTGCTATATGGGAATAAAAACGAATTTCTCTATAAATTTCTCTTAACATAGTTTAATATGTATAATTCAATGAATTTCTCTATACATTTCTCTTAAATACACAATTCAATATGTAATTTAAAAAAAAATCATGATATTTCTCGCATTACTTTCCTCACTTATACTCAATTTTCATTGACAATACGAGAATTTCATTGCGTTGTCTTGATAAATTGACACAGATCTCTAAATATCTGTCGTCAAGTACTAGTCTTATCAACCAAATTGAAATTTAAATTCAAAATATCATTTATATATATGTACGTCATTTACTTGCCTATGACGTTTATTTGTGTTTATGCAATGGACAGAGGTTTGGCAATACAAACCAATAACGAAGCGATCTTTTTCTCATACGATTCTAAACCGGTTATTACTGTTACACATCAAAACGCATATAAAGCATATAAAGAAGTCATGCGTGAATGCTATAAGAAAATCAAGATTAAAGATTGATAAAGAACTTTTGTAACATATCTTACTCACCTTTTGATATGTAGAATAAGTTCTTATAAATTTTTATTTGCAGATGAAGTAATATGATGTAGCCATTTAAATAAATATATTAATAACATAAATGATATTAACATATGTTAGTTAATATAAATATATTAATATTACTAGTCCATTTTTAGTTTAATGAGTATTATATGTCTATATATACACACATGCATTAAAATCATTAGTTTATTGTATTTTTAGAAAAGATAGGTTGCATAACTAATTGGTGGCTGTACAATTGTTGAACATTTTTTCCTTTTTTCAGATTTCTTCTATTCAACAGGGGTGCGTTCGATCCTCGTTGCTTTATCAGGTGTACGAAAAGGAAAATGAAAGGAAGGAGATTTTTCATCGACGCCGAATTACATTCGGCGATCGGTGAGATTCGTGGGGAAAGGGAAGAATTTCCTGGAAGCGTGTCTTCATGGTAGCTGGACACGCGCTTCGCAATTCTCTTTGCGTCCCTTCACCCGCGCCATCGTCATCTTCTCCCCTCAAGTTTGTGTAGACCACCACGCTTTTGCGAATAGCTTCTTCGGCACATTTAGTGTGTGCCCGTAACGAGATCACGAAGAGTCGCATTCGTGACCGGGAGACAGTGTTAAAAACGAAGTGGTAAAATAAGTCGGTTACGCACCCCTCGAAATAGAAAATATTTGTATAGAAGATCAAGAAGATTAAGTGGGAATACTACTTTTTTTCGTGAATTTTGTTCTTGCTAATAGAAAAACATAGGATTCTTCAGAATTTTACAGAAGTAAGACATTAGTTTGGCGAACAGAAGGTAAACATCTTGTAGAATCTTTTAGCAAAAACATTTTATATTAAATTTGACTTTTAATTAATTTTGATACTATGATGATAGATTTGTTTGAAATAAATTCTATATTAATCAAAGATTTTAGAAATAATTAAACGTAAATTTTTACAAAACGTAATTAGCGATCCATCATTTGATTAGGATTCTTATACTGTCAACGACCCGCACATTGCATTCACTGGTCGCTTGAGATACATCTTCATAAAAGTGTACAACCTTCCTCGTGCAATTACATAATGACTCGAAATTATCATTCATAGCAGAAAATGAGATGTACATTCGAGGGTCAGTGACGGCGAAATATCAAGGAAATGAGAATCACTTTCACTAAAATTACATCCTATTGTATCCTTCTTGTTTGATCACAAGTTAGATTTATAATAATAATGTTGGAACGGGAAAATTAATCTTTTTTAAAGTAAACTCCAGTATACATAAATCTGTTAAATGCAATTTCATTGTTATCAACACAAAAGTATTTTCCATATCATATATTAAAAAAGTTTTTTATATCAATTGAATTATTGAGAGCGATTTTCAATATTTAGCTAGAATTCCAACTTTCTATTCAGATTTTCTATTCTACGAACAGGAATTCCATTCATAATGCAAAATATCTGCCTATCTTGAGAAAAATAGTATCTTTGGAACTAGTATATGATTAATTTTTATTTTATTACATAGAGCCTGAAACTTAAATGATGATATCAATATACTCACGGAGGCTCTCGAAATGCGGAAGTAGATTTGTCAGAGATCACTCTTTCTATTGATGCAACAATGCATAATCTCGAATTGTTTATCATGCATCGCTGTATCGACGTTCACGTACGAATGACTTTTCAGGCCGTCCGATTGTTTTACTTCTTTTTAAAGACCGACGCATTACGAAATCCTCGCGTTTCCGCGTGACAAGATCTCCATAGTGAACGTCTTTACCTTTCTACGCACACCCTAAGTTGCAATCTTTTGTCACGTTATTCTTGTTTTCCTTACATAGTGATTATACTAAATATTATATCTCAATATTATATCTCAAAATACTATTCGTTAATATACAAAGCAGAGAAAGCAGAAAAAATCTGCTACTTTTTATATAATTTTGTATAATTTTATAAGATTTTATTTGACATGTTATTTCGTCAACAATTCATTAAGCGCTGCGTGTTTATGAAGCACGCAATAATCTTCCTGACTTTCTTTTTCTTCGAGGTGCGAATTTTTAATTTTTAAATCGTACTCTGGTTCTCCGTTCATCGTTACTATAGACACATCAAGAACGCGCTCGCGCGACGGCAATTATTACGGACAACGATTGTCCTAGCGGTCTTTAACTTTGCTTACGGTACGGGGCATCAATTTTGTCGTCTACGACCGTGACTTGTGTACATGCGTTATACAGATACCTGGGGCGTCGCGCCCAGGATACAGAGGCATACCGTGACGTTCATGAAGGGCTCTTAACGCCTAAAAATCCAACAACCATCGGTCGTTGTTTTCGTTTCGTCTCGCCAACAAGATTTCTAATTTAACTCGGCAAGTTCGTCACTTCTTCGTAGACGAGAAAACGGTATAATTATTTTTATCGCGTGTCACATGTCGAAATACGATGCGCGTTCCTGTTATTTTTCTAATGATCTTTTGGCAATAAATTATATTCGATGCGCAAAGTACGTGTATAAAAGCGACCTCGCTTTTGGCATTGAAGGCAATTAGAAAAAAATTCGAATATATTTTCATCCTACTTAATTAAAAAAATAATTATTGAATAAAGTTTTAAATGTAAGATTTAATTATTTTAACTTTTTTTAAACATATGGTTCGATAGATTGATTCATTCAGCATTCATTCTATTTCTTCAACTTTGTTCCAAATTCGTAATCCGTTTGCGTGCGAACGCATGTTCCAGAAAATGCGGAACTGTTGCTCGTAGACTACGGTCCAAATGCGCGATGGTCAGGTCGTCGGAAGGCGGTGGACTTCTGATAGTCGGTTGGCTTCTGGCACTTCGTTCCATTGGTGTCGGTGCCCAGTTAGATTCCGATTACGGATGTCCACCTCAGGAGAGGATATTGCCATGCCGATGCTCGACGCGCGATATGGAGATTCAGATATGGCAAGTCGATGAGAAAATATCAATGCCGGATGAAAGAATTAAATCGAGACAATATGCTGAACAAAATGCCATAAATTTACCAATAAATTTGCGTGCAGGTGCAGCCATAGCGAGTTACCAAAAGTGCTAGGAGGTCTGAAGGCGGTGAGTCACTACATGGACCAACCAGTGGACGAACTAATCTTGGAGAACAACAATTTACCTAGTCTACCCGGTAAGGTGTTCGCGTCCTTGCGAGTTTTACGCCTCATGCTGCGGAATAATCGACTCGAGAGGGTGTCGTCCGGCTGGCTAGACGGTCTGCATGATTCCCTATTAGAACTATTTATCGTTGAGCCCGATCTACGGTCTCTGCCTGTGGATAGCCTGGAGAATTTGCAGGGTCTCGAAGCAGTGACGTTGCAGAGTCGCGTGATGAGGCGATTGCCCAAGTTCACCGGTTTGCCGAAGTTGAGATACCTGCAGATCAATTCCCCAGCCTTGGTGGAACTCGCCCCGAGGAACTTTAAAGATGTTCCCAATCTGGAGCAGTTGCATGTATTCGGCAGTCCGAACCTGAGGAAACTGGAGGCTGGCCTCCTCCGCGGTTTACCTCGATTAGAATTGATCAACATCACTGATTCCGGGATTAACTGGATTCATCCACGTGCTGTGATCGATTTGCCGGAACTCAGGGAGATATCGTTAATCGGAAATGAAATAATCGACGCAAGTATAGTCGGTCGAGCATGCATGGATCTTCCATCGTTGTCAGTGATACGTTTGGATCGAAATCGCATTAATCGTCTCGGCGAGGGCTCCTTCGTCGACCTCCCAGTCTTATCGCGTATTTATCTGTCGCGCAACGGTATTACGGAGATATTCGCTGGGGCTTTTCAACGTATGCCGGCTCTCAAATCCGTAGATCTGAATCACAATTTAATCCATCGCATTCATCCGGAATTCTTTCCGCATCGAATAGGAAACGTATTAGAAGAGATGTGGCTAATTAACAATGACCTTAGCCACGTGGCCGAAATACGATCGGTGCTCGAAGCTCTGCCAAGGTTGAAATTTTTAGACGTCAGTCACAATCAGCTAGAGGAAATACCCTTCGGTGCTCTAAGAGGCCATCCCACCTTGGAAAGACTCCATCTCAATCATAACAGGCTGGCAGTTTTGCAGAGAGAAACGTTCGCGGCGATGCCAGCACTCAGGGAGCTCAGACTGAAAAATAATTCCTTGTCGAATCTTCTGGAAGCTCCTTTCTGGAATCTGCCAGCTTTAAAAGTAAAGATTTTATTGAATTCTCTAAACATTAATAATGGAACCAAAAGTTGAATACACATATTATTTGGATTTTTTATAAATAATTTTAAATAAAATTTGAACACTTAGAAATCACTCTTTGATCGAAGTATTATTGATATTTTATTATTTTCAATTATGTGTCTGATTCTAGGGTCTGGATCTATCGGAGAACTATTTCCGTCACATAGAATCGCGTTTGTTCGATAATCTGCCGAATCTTAGACGGCTAGACCTTAGTGGTAACGCCATCGGACTCATCGAACCTGAGTCCTTTCTCAACACCCCGGCGTTGGAACACATCAACGTCTCCAGAAATGCCCTGTCTGTTCTTCATCCCTTGACTTTTCAACATCTGACGAATCTGTACGAGCTGGATGTCGGCTGGAATCGTATGCTGGAAGTGGTCCCTGGTCTACCGAAGGACATCGAGCACCTTCATATGCCCATGAACCGTATCGTTACTCTACCAGCCATATCCTCTCAAGATCTAGCTCTACCTGCCCTACGATCACTGGATTTAAGCGCGAATGGAATCGAGACAATTTCGCCCGGCACATTAGTTGACTTATCGAACTTGAGAAAATTGTGTCTAGGCTATAATACTCTAAGAATTATAGACGACGGCGTTTTCGATGGACTCTCGAGATTGGAGCAACTGGACTTGAAATATAATCAACTGCGCACATTGCATGGACGAAGTTTTCGCCCTTTGAAATCGTTGATGGACGTAAATCTTCGAGGCAATCGAATGGAAGTTCTACGACCGGATATATTTCAAGAGAATACAAGATTACAAAGGATTGATCTAAGCAGAAATAATCTCGCTCAAATTCCTCACGCGACCTTTGCCAATACTAGGTAAGAATTTTAATTGTATTTAATCTTCATATGGAGAATTTATAATAAAATATATATATATATATATATATATATATATATATATATATTACGTAAAAAAATATCAATTTGTATTTCTATTTTAATCTTTAAAATTTAATATAATGACAATAGCAATAGTATATTAACAATGGAGGCAATTTTCCCCTCCTTTGTTACCTCGTGTTCTAGTGGAAAAGCAGTTTCACTCGTGGTTACTTGATTGCATCACTCTTAAATTGGTACCTAGAAAGTTCTTCGTGCACACGCTAATATCTCTTTCTTGTCGTTGTGTAGCATCGGCCTGGCGTGTCGACTAATTTGGTTCACTTTTATACGTAATTTTGTTTAATCTCGTTCATCAAGTTTAATTTGATCGGATCGAAACATGTTTTTTCAAAAGTATACTTTAATCTAATATACTTTAATTGAATTTAGATGTAGATGTATCTAAAACACGGATAGGACAAATAGCACTTTGATAACAATCTATGTACTTATTAAATTTTATTTACGATAAATTTACAATAAATCTTTTTTGCCAAAATTTGTAACAAATAATGCTGAAAGGAAAAATGGAAAGATATTCTAATCATCTATACATTTTTGAATATTTTTTTGCAAAAGAAAATAGATTGTCTAATGTTCATTCCGCATTCAAAATAACAATGATAATTACAAAACCTGTTATCAATTACAGAGACCTTCGTGAACTATACGCCTCGCACAATACTTTGACCGAGTTACCCGGATCGCTGCACGGCTTAACAGTTCTTCGGGTCCTCGACTTGAGCTTTAACAAACTAAACATTCTATCGCCGGAAATATTAAGCAGCCTTTCGTCCTTACTTGAGCTGAAACTCGTCAGAAATCATATACGAGAATTGCGGGAGGGTGCGTTCGACGGGTTGCCACGGCTGTCTCTGATCGATCTCGAAGATAATGATCTCAGAGTGATCGAAAGGAATGCCATCAGAGCCTTACCGGAACTACAGGCTGTCAGACTCGGCAGGAATCGATTGCAGGTAATAAATTGTATAGTTTCTCATTCAATGAAATTAACAATAAGATAATTTTTATTTGATGAAATAAAACTTTATCTCCTTGAATAACTTACTTTGTTAGATACGATTAAAAAGCTTAAAAGACTTTATACATGTGAGTCATAATATATAAATAAAATGTTGTCTAGTTTTTATATAAAAAATATTGAAAATAGTTAAATAAGGAGGTAACTAACACGTAATTTTCTAGTCTATCCCAAGTGGCGCTTTCACCGAACTACCGTTACTACAAAGTACGGAATTACAAGAAAACTGGATTCAGGAAATCGCTAATAATGCCTTCATTAACGTGCCACACTTGCTATTCCTTAATCTAAGTCATAATAATCTGCCGGGATTGGAGTACATTGGCTTGGAGAGTCTACGTTCGTTAGAAGTCCTCGATCTCAGCTACAATCGTTTATCGAGAGTTTCAAGCGACAGTCTGGCATCTATGGAATGGCTAGTAGAATTAAAGGTATAATAGAAAATTTTACATTCTAAATTTTAAATATATCATCAACATAAAATATATCATAATATATTGCGCTCTATAATTTTTAAATCGTACTTTTAAAATACATGTGTCGGATTGTGGGTGTATAAAACGATTGCGCAATTTGTGAAAAAATTTATTTTGTGCGAGAAGTAATCTGTATAAAAAAATTACAAATGAAATGGGCGAAGAGAAGCGCTTTGCTAATAAAAGAGAATACTTTCTCGTCGAGAGTGAAACTTCTGCGTGAACCATGGTGCGAGACGAGCCGTTCTGCTGGCAGAGCAATTATTCGTATACTTGCATCGTTAATTAGGGGAGATAGCCGAGACCGCGTTTTACATAGGCCGTTTTCCTTTCTGTATGCAGATGGACAACAATCGGATTTGTGCCGTGCACGGATCGCCTTTCGATGATATGCCGAGATTACGAGTGCTGAGCCTACGAAGCAATCGGATGACCGCGGTTTCCGAAAACGCTTTCAAGAGATTAAGATCGAACATTGCTGTCCTGGATATCGACGGTAATTCAACATTAATTAAATCGACAAAAATAAAAAAAGAATTTAATCAAATTAATTATTTAAACTGAAATATATTAATTTGCGATTTTCGTTGACAAAAAGCACCGCTTAATATTTTTGCATATTTTGTCCTATATCTTTATATTTACATCTTTTTCTTATTTCCGAGAAAGGAAATCCATTATCCTGTTCTTGCGGCATGCTTTGGCTACGAGGATGGCTCCAACAAGCTTCCTCGGAGGGTCCTAGATGCGCCGACGGCTCTCTCTTTAGGGAATTGAGATTATCGCGTCAAGATTGTCAGCGGGAGAGATACGTTGAACCGGTCCATCCAGCATGCGAATCCGAAATGATTAACGTTGCAACGCCTTCGGTTTCTTCATCTGGTAATAACTGAAATAAAAACGATTAATCGCAAAATGATTCAAAAAAATTAAATCACATTTATCTATTATTTAAAAATTATGTTGCATTTTTACACAATGTTTTTTTGTGATTACACTTTAACTATTTTATGATATGCACTGAATTATAATATAAACTATTTTAAATTATGATATACACTTTAACTATTTAAATGATGATATCAGAATTAATCATTAATTAATTCTGATATCATCATTTACAAATTTATAGCAAATAATTTTACCACATCTTTTGCGACTTATTAAATTACATCGAAACTTGGTAGCATTTGGAGTTACAGAGACAGTACCGTTATGGCTGAATCTAAAGGACTCGACCCAGAAGCCTTCCGTTTCCCAGGATACTGACTACATGATGTATGAATATCTGGACAATCAGGATAACGAAAACGACACAAACATATTCACATCGCCATCCAGCGTGTCTACTCAGACCATCAGCGTACCTACTCAGACCGTAAATATCATTCATCCACCATTGCAAACGCAGAAGCATCAGATTCAGAAGAATGAAACGTCATCAATGAAGAAGAAGCCCATGATGCCACCGTCACCCAGTAGCTCTGGCTTCACTTTTTTTGGTGTACCTCTGCCGAGCATGAGTTTTGATTTATGGGGAAATTCAAAGAGAAAAGCCGAGAGGAAAGAGTCCTCGATGACACCGAATAGGCCCAGCCGAGGACGTTACAGATCTTTTCCGCCCACAGAACCAGAAATTCATAGAGGTGGCTTCGTGCCGTTGCCGCGTGCACAGAGTGGATTCGTGCCGATTGCCGATCCTAGATTGATGTACGAGAAACACGAGACGAAGCGTGAGAATGTCTCAAAGTCATTGAACGCAAGCAGTACGCCGATGCAGATGTCGGAGGAGCGTCCACGGAAAAGCGCAAACAGCACTATCACTAGGGTGGAAAAGATTGTTTCCAGGACTGGGAAACCTCGGACGAATCTCCGGGAACGAGAGGAGTTATCCACTGTACCAACATTCAATCGATCAACCGATTCGAGTAACTTCAATTCTCGCAAGATTTTGCCTGACATCAATAAGATCAAGTAATTAAATCATTCAAATTACTTATTTTTTTTACAATATTCAAATTATTTTTTTTGCAAAATCTAACTGTTCATGATCAAGGTATCGCACGCAAAGCGATAAGCAAGTCATAATTTAAAAAAATTAGTCGCATGAATAATATACATCAAACTATTGTCATCCATTAAACACGCGTAAAATAATCCATCACACTATTGTTCAAAACAGACAGATCGCGAAAACAAATAATAATTAATTGTGCCTTTCGAAAAAGATTCAGACTCTTCAAAAAAATCAATCAAATCATTTTCCAATATTATAATATTTTTTGTGCTGTTTTGCATATTGTTTGTGGCAATTTTTAGATCTTTCTCAAAGGGCATACTCAATAAAAATAGAACAAGAGAAAAATAGAGCGCACTTTTTTGTAAGTTTCGATCGCGCTTACGCTGTTATAGTTTCGAAATTGTTTAAAAAAAAGTTGTGTGCTTGCTTTTTCTTTTATTCGGATTTGCGTTCTTCACCTTGCTCGTTTCACGAACACAGACAATTTGATAAAAAAAGATATTTCAAATTCTCTGGTTCATTTAATCACAATTTTTTAAATGAACTCTCATTAATAATTTAGTTTAAAAAATACGTTTATATATCTTGATATTTTAAAAATTGAATTTTAAATTGTTTAAACTGACATATGTTATGACTAATCCTTTCGGACGTTAATATTTTCTTCGTTTAGCTCTGACGCATTCAACGCAACGAAAAGTAGTGCATCGATAATCGTGGAGGAATCGTCACAGGAAACTCTTGAAACGTCAGTGTCCACTGAGATTTATGACGACGAGAGTCTAAAGGTAGAAGAAGATTCGGAAGAAGATAAATTTATCGAGAAACCGCAAGTGGAAATCGCCAGTAGAATAATTTGGACCACACCCAAAACGATAACAATCGAAACGAGAAAAACAATTATCAAAGACGTTGTAACAGCAGCAATGGAGGTGATACCATCGCAAGAAAATAGCACGAAAGATTGGGACATTGAGATATCCGAATATGAAAAGAATTCAACTCGATTGGATACTACGACTGACTCTTACGATGAATCTGGTGATTTTAATAAATAATTTAAAATGTTTGATACACTTAATATCAGCACTTTATTATTAAATCGTTTGGAAAATAAGTCTGTAATCATCTGCTAATATAAAATCTATTTTAAATTAGCAAACGAAGGAAACAATCTTGCTATTGATCTTTTAATCCTAATTAACAAAAAATCTATGGCAAGAATCCATAAAAAAAATTTATTTTGATAAAAGATCGACACTAAATTCTTATAAAACTTTGCGATCGATGGATATTATATCGCGAGAATGAAAAAAAGAAAGAATTTTAATAAATAAATATCTTTTGCCTTATTGCAGACAATCCGCAAGTGGCAAAAACAGATGCACCGCATTTCTCTTTATCCACGACGTTATTCTCCATATCGAATCCGCGCCCGAGAGAAACCACAACTATGACTACCCGAGGCACGTCCGCTTTATCTGCACTTTTAATCCCGGGAGGACAACTACCGTCTTCAGGGCCTGTAGGAAACTTGCGTCCACTCGGTAGATCTACGATAACCAAGGTCGCTTCGCCGTATCTTAGTCATAATGCCGAACAATTGCGGGAGAGACAGAAATCGATTGCTGCTCAGAGAAGCGCCGAGGTCGTCGACCACACGACAACTGAAATTCAAAACGAAGCGTTCGTCATTGATGAAAAGGCCAAAGTGATAGACGATAGTCCTCTCAGCTGGTACTTCCAACATTATAATGATACATATTTGGAACCTTATATAGGTATAGCTTATAGCAATACCGCGAAAATCGATGTGTATCCATGTTTATTTTTGCTCGCTTTTAGAATCTTAATTTAGAAAGAGATTTGGAATTCGTAGAGAGAAATTTATAGATGATTTTTATCAATAAACAAATTAAAGAGAATTCATAAAAGATAACATACATTGTAATATCTCTTGACGAATATGCGCGAGTGTTTTTCAGATCATAAATCATACATAAGCATATTGTAAGAATATGTGCGATGTATACAATTGAACTACATATGTATATCTATATATATTTTGTTCGAGAACCATTATATGTACAAAGATCACGCTCATAGGTGTATTTGCGTTTATATATATATATATATATATATATATATATATATATATATATATATTTTAGTAAGATATAAAGCATATATTTCTATGATAAATTAATAAAGCAATCTAAGCAAATAATAATTTTATTAAAAATGTAATTCTCTTCTCTTTTTTAATGGGACTTATGCATTTCCTAAGAAATATGTTAATTATATTTATCATGAATATTACTAACTAAAACTTTAAATTGTCTCAGACATATCTGTGACAATTTAAAAGAATACTTCTTTAATATTAATTATATTTGAATCTAATGATTAGAATTAATGAATGGATGAAAAAATTGCCCTGTAATTAATTTGGAAAATTGCTTCGTTTTTTACAAAATATTATTGTTTATAAATTAAAATATTGAAAATATAATGGTTAAAATGATATTCTGTAAAAAAATGTCTAAATCCTAAATTTTTCGGTATATTTACTATTTATTACATTCAAAATTGGAAGTGTTAAGTTTTCTATTCTTCTTTGTGCCTAATATCTTAGTAGCTCACAGAATTATGCCAGAGTAGTTTAGAAATCCCAATATGCCATAATACATATTTAAATTGCCATCATTATTTATAAGTGAGATGTAATTCTGTACAAATTGTAAACAGACTTGCTTATTATTTATTACACACAGAATCGATAATCGTCCTCAACTTTAACAGTTTCAATGTTGCAACTGAACAATGCTTCAATCACTGATTTTTAGCTTTCGTTTTTTCCTCTCCTTTTTTCTCCTCTTCTTTTTTCTCTTCCTTTTTTGTATCCTTCTTTCCATCTGTTTCTTTTTTCTCAGCATCACGATTAGTCAATTTATTGTTGATCAAATTGTGTAATGCCACTATAGACCTAACCAGAGCTGCCAGATATACAACTAACATTTGATCATTTGTCTTTACATATAACGAATCAACAAAGCTACTTTGAGTCATATCTGGTAATAAATTGAAGATATCTTGAAGCTGGTAAACAATTTGATGGTTTATAGGTAATTTTCCACTGCCAACCTATAAAAACAATTTATTTTCGGATACATCAGATAATTAACTAATTAATTAATAATTAATTGAATTATTTTCTATTATAGATCAATATACAAGGTGTTCAGAAAATCGCCCACAGTACTTTGGGAAATGATTTGGGACCCAAGAAGGAAATAAAGATCTCTCTTTCTTTCTCTTTCTCTCTCTCTCTCTCTCTCTCTCTCTCTATATATATATATATATATATATATATATATATATATATATATACACATACCTGAAGCAAATAATCTCTAATTTCCCGAATTTGTTCGTGAAGACCTTTCAAGCCAAGTAACTGATTTGTGATTCTTTGACTGAGTGTACCAACTGTGGTATCTTTAATATCTCGCAATAAATGTTCCACTCCTACCTCTTCTGCTTCTTCAGCTCCAATTTCACTTGGGATGTGCTCAAAAGTTTTAGAAGTAGGGGAACCATCCTGTGTACAGGGTTTTTGTTACGTATCTTTTTAAAATATATAACTAGAAAAAAAATATACATATATATATATATATATATAAACATACATCGTGTACTTCCTCAACTGCTTGATATGCTTCCGTAGGAAGTCCGAGATCCTTTGGCTTCGCATCAATAATTACCAAGACTGAATTGGCACAGTATCTTCTTATTAATTCATTAATGGCAACATCATTTTGATGTAGCTTAGGTCCAGTGTGGTACCAGCCTACTACCTTCTCACGAGCTAAACATCAACAAATATGGAATTGTAATAAAAAAAAATCTTATTCTGTATAACTTTCACAGGACTTGCAATTTATTCATAATTATTTACCATTGACTTTCTTGAACATTCCATACATATTTTCTAGATAATCATGATCAAGAAACCATACACTTTTATCTTTGTCATCCTCATCAAAAGGAACTGCAACACGAAAATTTATTTGTTAATACTGTTAACTTTAAAAATATTTGCGATCCAATCTTTCACACATTTTTACATAAAAAATGATTATCTTATTGTACATATAACATTGTAGATTATTAGTGACAACCCTAACCTGCAAAACTGTTTGATACGTCTAAGATTCCTTTGGCCCTCCAGCAGCCTAAAAGTACACCAACTACTCTCTTTTGATTTCCAATTTTTCCCATACGATTAAAATGATCCACCACGCTTAATAATACCAGCGGGTGAACCACAACTTTAGTTGTTGCAACCTCTTGACTCGGCATTTTTAGGAGCAACTCTAAAAACGATGCACACACCATGAAATCATCAACCAGCCGCTATCATTCGAGGATGACAAGAGCGGCATGTTTGTAGGTTTGTACTATCAAGTTCCACTAAAAGCGCCATGTATGGCTGAAGGAAAAAACATGTCATCGGCTGCGGTCGAAGAGACGCTCTGGATGCTTTGAAGCGTTTGATTGACCAATCAGGACAAGAGGAATAAAGATTTTTTTACCTGATTGGTTAAGCAAACGCTTCAAAACATCCAGAGCGTCTCCCCGACCGTAGTCCTCGTCTTTTATTTAAATAACGTTGGTAAGCCTTAAATAACGTTGAAAAGCGTGAACGAGAAAGTAACACGTTGTCAGCATTGCCGACACATTAGGAGTCACGACAAGTTTTAGCGAAGAATATTTCAATTAACGAGGTAATACATTTCTGTCATGTATCGAAATACAGCTACCAAAAGTAGTTATTTGTTTGGAACACGTGTTTACATTCTATTCTCTTGTAATTAATTCATATCAATAAAAAGATTCGACAAGTCAAATCCTACAGTATAATTCGACTAGACAAGGTAAGGTCGATTCTATAATGGACGCAACCGCAAGACGCACAGATTGTTGATTCTAAAAACAACTCTTTCAGTCTGATTAGTTGTCGCGGACAACGCTACGTCAAAAAAATAAAATTGATCATCTTTTTACGAATCTGCATTTTCTACGTGGATCTACGATCGGAAATGTGTCATATTTGCGTTGCGGCTTGCGTTTTGCGTGTGTCATTGTAGAACTGGCTTTTATGCACATGATATCAACATCATGAAGAATATAAAAAGCGCGCGAAATTGGAAAGATATAAACAATAAAGATATCTACAAATAAACTGTAATGAATACGCGCGTAAAGTGTATATAACAATGTAATTATGTATAATCCAATCATTCAAGAATATTTAATACATTGGAAATATTTAATAATTTACAAGATATAGTGGAATAAATTTTTCTGCTCTTTCATATTAATTAGCTTTACATTTTGTAAAAAAATAAATCATAATTCTAATTATATTTTATTAATTTTGATCTAAAGTGATGTGACACTTATATCAGCAAACTGAGAGTTAATCAAATAGACTTTTTTTGTAACATTGACCAAAGAATTTCTAAAATATTATATTTGGATTAGGTTGTTATAAAAGATAGATCATAATTATTAATTTTGACATAAAGTGATGTATAATTATGTCAGCAAAATAAGAGATTAGAAATTAGACTTTTTCAATAATGTAACATTGATAAAAAATTTTTCATTGAGATAATACACTATACAGTACCCAAATTGTTATAGGATGTCAAAACCTGTAGTATTTGTGACAAGCAACCCAAAGAAACTGGAGGAATTCACTGCTATTTTAGGACAGAAGTATTCTCAGCGAATAACGAACATGAACCTTTATCTACCCGAATATCAGGGCGAGATAAATGAGGTATGTCGAAAGAAATGTCAAACCGCAGCGCAAATGTTAAATGGTCCAGCAATCATCGAGGACACGTCTCTCTGCTTTAATGCGATGAAGGGTCTTCCAGGACCTTACATCAAATGGTTCCTCGAAAGACTCGGTCCCGAGGGTCTCTACAAAATGTTAGACGGATGGGAAGACAAATCCGCAGAAGCGGTTTGCACGTTTGCCTATTGTTCTGGAACTGACGCCAGAGTCTTTATATTTCAAGGTCGAACTCAGGGTACCATCGTAAGTCCACGAGGTCCTCGAGAATTCGGCTGGGATCCCTGCTTTCAACCACGAGGCTATGATCAGACCTACGCGGAATTACCAAGCGATGTCAAGAATCAAATTTCTCATCGCTATAAGGCGCTGGAGATATTTAAAGATTTTCTTATAAACAATATAATTTAATTTTTATTGATTTTATATAATCAAATTACCATTTCTCTCATATGATTATTATCGTTTCATTTTCAAGTTTCTTCTGTGTAGTGAAAATGTACTTATTATAATTCTATAAGAAAATAACAATTTTTTCCTTACTTTGTTACAATCTTGGAATAATTATAAAATTAATTATAAAGACATATTTTCACGTCTTATAAGATTTATTTGGTACAGTATAATCAAGATAATTGACCTTGATTGAGAAAATAGTGTTTATTATAAATTATCTTAATTCTACCAGAGTAAGTTGTTTTGTCTTTATTTTATAACTTGCTCTGACCTGTAATGTTAATGTTCGATATACATTTATCAAAGATGATTTTTCTTGCCAAAAACAATTTCTTATTACCATGATAGTTGTCGGATCACACCGGAAACATATGGAATGACCTGCTGGTAACATTGAAACTATCATGAGATACCATGCGTCTCAAAATCTAATTGTCATTTATAAATCACGCGATGTACTTATTTGACGACTTTCATATTGAAAATTTTATGTGACGCAACAAATTGAAATATGAAATCATAACTATGTATTGTATATATATATATATATATATATATATATATATATATATATATATATATATATATATGTACGTATATTGTAATCATCCGAAGAAAGATATTGTTAATCATATGAACCGATACACAAGTCGTCGTACACAAATACTTATAATTAAAACTATCGCGTGTACAAAGATGACGAAATATTGTCGCTATTTAATTGCTTTATTTATTTATAAATAACGCAATTATTACCATTTACACGCCATATGTAAATAGTTTTGAGATGAATGCATGAAAAGTAAAAATGTAGTCTTAAATTTAAGAAGCCTTTATGAAGGAAAATGTAACAATGTTATATTTAAATTAAAATTAATAAATGTTATATTTGTCTAATAAAATGAACAGCAATGTTGCGAGACTCACACATTAATAAACATAATATATATTATACATAACACAATGAAACGAGCAGATAAATGTACTTCGGTTGTCATATAGAAGTACTGGTAAACACGCAATCAATCGTAGTTTGTTTTCTTCACTTTATATATCAAATCGTATGATAATTATTTAATTTACTCAATTAATGGAAAAATCGTTTAATTTGTCGAACATAATTACTCACGATCCCATTATCATTTAATGAAAAATACATGGCAAAAAAAAAAGAGGATAACTTTGACAAAGTTATCCTCTTTTTTTTTTGCCATGTATTTTTCATTAAATTGAATTGCTATTGAATTGCTTCGCTGTAGTATGCATTGAAAAAAATATTGGACGATACGTGTGATAATTAAAACGAAGAAACATGAGTAAATTGTTTTTTAACGCTAAATTTAGTCCTCTCTGTCTTCTGTTTTTTTCACGCCAACAAGAGACAATAATATCGCGTATCTTACGTAAAATCGCGATGATACTCTTTAATAGCGAGTCGCGCCTTGAAGTCAACAAATGTGAAGGAAAAAAAAAACAAATATTTCTACCGAGCGGCTGCAATCTCTTGTGCACTTTCATCTCGGCTATCCATATCTCGTTATTTTCGCGAGGTCGATTTCTTTTAACGAAAGATTGCTCTCTGTAGTCGCGATCAGCTTATGTATTTACACGATTATCTTATGATAGTCAAAATATACCGATCGTTCGAATCGTAGTAGCAAATCCGACCGAGGAAGCGTACGATCATTCCTTCTCATTGCATATGAATCACAGGTGATTACGTACATACAAATCGAGATAAGATCGTTGGATAATTAATTCTCGAGAGAAAAAAAAAATCAACAATAAATTTTCCATCTACTTGAGGAAGACGATGACGGAATCGATCCCAATCGGACGCTTGTGGTCGATACTCGAATTATTCTTGACATAAACGCGCGTAATTAAACATCTTTTAATATTTATATATACAACTGTAGAGCCCGATGCCCGAAAGGGTTATCTCCTTGATTACACCGGCATGATCCTTTTTCTTTCTCTCTTTTTCTCCATATGTACGCATAATACGTTCTCGTTGCCGGGTTATCGGTGCGCTTCTGCATTTTACCGGCAATTGCAAAACTTCGCGTCTTTAAAAGCGGAGGAATCGCGCGTACGCTAGCAGTTTCGCAAGAGGGGCCACACTACGATGAATGCCTTTACCGGTAAGTCTCTCGCCCCGAAGGACGTGAAAAGTATCCTCGTGTTTATCGTTTATTGCGAGAGAGATGCGTTCCAATCCGAAATTCGTCTTCTCTTCTTTTCTCTCGCGACATTGATAACGATATTCTTTTAAAAAATTTACATATACGCGTGTATCTCTCGGTGATAAAGAAACGAAAAGATGTCCATTTCGTGAATTTTGCGAGCTTTGCATTTCGTGAAGAAAGAATTGAGGAAAAGAACTCAAATACATAATATAATTAATTAGTGAAAATGTTGCAAATAGAAATTTTACAATTCTTTAAGAGAATACGTTTCTTTGAAAAGAATACATAGTACTATATATATTATATAAATTTATATTATATAAATTTTGCTTACAGTATTGCTGCTGTGCCTAACGGCGGCATGTGCAGTGCCAGGTGAGTTTTATATTTTAATTTTATAAATATTTTAGAAATAAGATGCTTATAAATAAATGAATTTCTTACTAATTTTTTTTTTACATTTAATAAATACTAATATTATATTACTTTATTTCTTAAAAAATATACTCGATTTCTACATGTAATTTTCTAAAGAAACTCTCTAAAGAGAGTTAATATTTAATTAAACAAAAATTATTAATTTATTGCGCATAAGAAACTTTTTCCGGCAAGATAATTCGACAACATCATCCAAAATGAATTTATCTTATCGTCATGCATTGTGATATTTTTTTCTCGCGAAACAATTTAATTCAGAAACTTGTGAATAACATGGTTGGAAATATTGATATCTTTTTTTTTAGGAAAACTCAATCATTTCCACATATTTTTTTCTAATTACTACTTTGTAATTATCTATTTCGTAGATTTCGATTTTTTATGATTGTTATATAAGTAATTGTATTTAATACACGTTTTAAAATGATCTATTAAGTGCAAGATTAATTCGAAATATTTCTTTCTAAATTGTAAATATTACAAATTATTACGAATAATTGATAAAATGTATTTTGTTTTAATTAATAAATAACTTTTATTATAAACCGGAGTATCGTATATTATACAAAAATATAAACATAGACTTATACGTCAACATTGATAAAATTTCATTATATTTTAGTGCACTTTCCTGCTCAGAAAACTGTAATCTACAATTATCATGCCAATGTAAAAACTGGGATTATCGAACCAGCGCATTATGCTTCCCAGTTCGTTCTCGTCGGACAACTTCATATAAAGAAAGACATCAGTGATCCAACTTTGAACAATGCCTACTATGTTAAATTAAACAATGTAAAATATGGCGTGCACAACGGTATGGTCATAAATGATGAACCGGTCCAGGTGGTTCACGAGCTCGAAGAAGCCACGCTGCAAATCCAAGAACCGTTCGTGATTGTCTATGACGATCATGGCAAAGTAAACGTCCAGATTATCAAGGCGACATTCTAATAGAAAAGTATTTTATATCGTTTGTGCCGAAACTATTAAATGATTTCATACTCTGGTTTCAGTTTCAAGGCATTAAAATACTGGAAAGCGAGAGCTGTTGGTCGAAGAACATTAAGCAGGGTATTGCCTCGATGCTGCAACTGGATTTAACGCATATCCAACTGCAAACCCCGATGCAGCCGCACAATTTCGTCACGCATGAGGTAGGTAACGACTGATGGGAACATCCTGCGAAATCGGTTTAATGTTCTCTTTGGTTGTTACCACTAGAACACCATCCACGGTACCTGCCAAGTCGCCTACGATGTTCATTCGGCGAACTCAGCAAATCCGGAAATTAACAATTTTGTAGTCACAAAACTGCACGACCCGAGAAACTGCAGTCACTTTGTTCAGCGTGTCTTTGATCACGTTGAATGCGAAAAATGTCACGTCGAATCTATGGTAATTTTTTTATCTTTTGAGAATTATTTTTATTTATTAAATGTTTATTTAAGTTTTGCTTAATCATAATTAATATTTTTCCCTTTCAGGATGATATGACCACCGCCGCTAGAAGAGTTTTCCAGATCGAACAGCAAAACAATGACATTCTCATCAAACATATGGTTGCCCATTCAGTCATCAATTATGTTCCTTTCAACGCTCTATCTCAAGCTCATTATCTCTTAACTAAGTAATTATACGATAATTATTGTACGCGCTATACTAATCACAAAAATAATTGTGCTATATTAATCTTATTTATTTCTTCAGTATTACTCTAGATTTGCATTCCGTGGTGCCAACGATGGAAACACCTATGTCGACCACGAATTTCCAAAATGTGCCTATGATTCGCGACATCACCTTCAATAAACCTGTAGGAAATTATGCTCTCCATGCCGCCGAAGATCTCACTCATGGTCGACATATTGTCAAATTGGACGTGCTCATCCCCAAACTTAAGAAAATGTTAGTCGAGGCCGCTGATTATCTTGAGGAGAATCATCTGGAAGCCGAAGAACCCGAATGGAAGCATGGACAAACAATAAACAGACTACAGTATACCATGAGTTACATGGATCTGGGTTCACTGGAACAAGTTTACAATACTATTCAAGATGCAAAAACACCGAAAGAAGTCACGATGAAGTAAGTAGCATACGGTCATTCTTCATGCTATAATAAAATCAATTAAAATTAGAAGTGCTAAGAATTAATAATTTCTTGTAAACACTGAGAAAAAAAAACCGGTGAAAAGGTAACGAACGGATATTATACCGATCACTTTAATCGAAAAAACAAGAAACCGATCAAATATCCAATCAGAAAATATTGATCCATCGAATATCTGATCGGAAAGTGAAAAATTTGGAATTTTCCGATCAGATATCCGATTAAAGTGATCGGTATAATATCCGTTCATTACCTTTTCATCGGACATTTCTCTCATTATTCTCAGTGAAGAAATGTTATTTGTAACATTTTATATAATATAATTTATATAATATAATAAAAATAAATATTATATAATATATTATAATAAATATATAATATAATATAATATATAATATAATATAATATATTATAATAAATATATAATGTAATAAAAAACGTATTATAATTAATATCGTAATTTTAAAGAAATATCTTCTTGCGAATGATTCCAACTGTGGGCACATCCGCCGCCTGCTACTTCACGCGAAATGTCATCCGCAAACACAAAGTGACCGATGCGATCGCCGTCGCAATGTTAGCAAAATTGTCAATGCATGTTAAAATACCATCCGAGAGATTGCTTTTGGAAATGGAAGAGCTGTTGAAATTAGACAATATCGTGTCATCCAACGTCAAGAAAGCCAGCATTCTTTGCTTCTCGATCTTGATTCGTAAAACATTCATGCATCAGCAAAGCGAAATCGCCAATCCTCTTCTCGAGAGATATCTTAATCGTTTTCTTGATCATGTTAAGAGTAAGTATTATATTAATTTTATAAATTGTATAATCTCGTAATTCCCTTTTTATAAATATTTTAGACGATCAATCATACGAGATGAAAATGGTGTATCTGATGGCGATGAAGAACGTTCAAGTAGGCAATATCGAAAAACTTTTAGAACCGATTATTCGCGGTGAAATTATGGTATCCGAGAATCCGCATCATATTCGCGTTCAGGCAATCTGGGCCATCAAAAAAGCAATCGCCGATAAAGTCGAGTATACTCACAACCTGCTCTGGCCTATTCTTGTTGACGTCACTCAACCACTGCCTGTCAGAATCGTTACTTATGACATCTTGATGAGCCAGATGCCAAACATGCAACGACTTATGAATATCTATTGGTTTATGGTCCACGAACAGAATAATCATCTGTACAATTATCATTATACTACTCTGAAAGGCCTCGCTAATTCCGTGGATCCTTGCCTCGGACCAGTTCGTGAAATGGCCAGGAAAGTCTTGCGCTATACAAAAATCAGACCGGAAACCATTGAACTTTCGTCTAAACATTTTGTTGACTATACAGATCCTGTGTACGAACATGGTGAATCTTTAAACACTGCTTGGGTTCTCGATGAATTAACTGGTTTGCCGCACGCTGGATATATGGAACATCGCGTGTCGGTCGCTCGTAGATCTGTCGAGAAATTCGGTGTAAGTAAAATTTAATATGAGTAAAATTTATAAAACATTAATTTTGCCTTGTAACCGTCAAAAATGAAGGAAAAATGTTTTGAGTCTTTATATCAATTTTATATATATTAAAAATATTTTTATTATTTAATTCTCTCTATCTTAGATCTACTGGAATGCTTATGGTCTAGATGAGATCATAAAGATAATCAAAGAAGAATTAATGGGAAGCACAGTGGAAAATTTCAGTGACAAACACGTAGAGGAAATCTTTATCCGCGCCAAGCATAACATACCAGTAAAGAAACAAATACGGAAACCTGTTCAAATCGATATCTGTATCACGCTCAACGGTCACGTTATTTCCGCCAATCACTACGGTCAGAATACCTTCAGGAATATGTTCACCGATATATCCCAGTTGAAACAAATAATGGTCGGCAATTTTCAGGAGATCAAATATGACACCTTCTACGAGATGCAAGTACCCATCGATATGGGTCTGCAGGGAGTTTTCACCACTAAGATGCCTTACTTATTTTCGCTCAAATTCAATAATATTTATAACGAAATCAGCAAGCTATCTGTCAATATGAAGGCCGAGATCGACACTCGCATCTGGAGGCATGGCGAATACGCCATGTCGATCTATAATCCCATCGCCGACGTTTGGCACTCGATTCGTCGCGCTATCGTTCAGGACGTCGCCTTGCCCATAGAGATGAACTTCAGTTACAATCACGAGATGAAGAGTCTCAAAATCACTATGCCGAGACTACCGGTTACCAAATTGTCGTACACTGGTATACGATATCACGCGAAAAATCTGGTTACCATCACTGAAGACGAGCAAGACATTCTTAAGACTTGCTGCGCTACCTGTCATCATCATACGGTCGTACGCACTGGCGAGAAAATGAGTCATCACGTCGCTGTGGATTCCAAAGATATAGGTCTCAAGTATAGCATGTCAGTCTTTGATTGCGAGAACAAGATTACCCCCGCAATCAACGTTCAAGAATGGCATCGTGCGATGTCTCCGGAACATAAGAATACTTGGTAAATATATCACGCTAAAATATTATATTATATTATATTATATTATATTATATTATATTATATTAAATTATATTATAAAATATTATATTATATTATATTATATTCCACCTGTACATCAGTTGTATCAATGTCGATCAATCTATCAAATCTTCTTTTCTATTTATATTAGAATAGAAGAAAATAATAAGAACAAAATTGGATTAAAATATAATTTTTTAATTGTCAGAAAAATTTTTTAATGAAAAGAAATTGTATAATAATATAATTTATTTGTTAGGAATTCGAAAATTGTTCAATACATCATGGGCATCCATCAAAAAGCGTTTAACGACTACATCTCACCGGCAGCGAGTAATTGCGGAAAGATCATGAAGATGGAACCGAGTGTCCTTTATCCTATGTCGCAAGTGAGTAATCAGAAATCTCATTCTATGAAGAAAGAAAATAATTTCTTATTCTCTTATCTTGTTCTCTAGATCGATATGACTCTAAGAGTCTTCGTAGATGATGTTGATCAGCATATACATACTATCAGTAACAAAAAGATTAATGTACGCGGTACTATCAATGCCATGGGAATCCGCACATGGGACATGAACATAAACATTGACATGTCTCAAGGACACACAATTAACAACGTCAAGATTCAAATGACGAGAGACACGCCAGGAGAAAAGAAATTGAAGGTAATTAATTAAACTACAAATAATAAATAAGAGATCTAACAAATTTAAATAATTTATTGATTAGAAATTATATGATTACTTTTTATTTTTAGATCTGCTTAGACGCCCAGAAGAGCTATCCGATTACTAAGACAGATCCTTTGAAACTCGATATCATCACAAAAGAAGAAACCAACACGAAAATGACCATTACTGCAGGATTTACGGATGACGATAAATGCGTCCGTGACGAAATGTTAATCGTGATGACCGTTAAGGGTGAAATGACAGAGGAACAAAAGAAGCAGATGAAACACGACAGCGTACATGGCTTTTGTATTAAGGATATTCAAAATCCGCAATTCCAGACTTCACAAGGCCATATTCCTAAAACTATGAATTGCATTCGCGAAACCTTACAATACACGACCATGAAGAAATACACCGTCAACACGTCATACAAGAAGGTAAGAAGAAAGAATATACATGTAACACACATATATACATTTCTTTTAATAATCAAATTAATAATGAAATTAATAATGAAATTATTTCAAAATCTAATAATACGTAAGAAGCGCAAATATTTTAAAATTACTCAACTTATTTATTATCTTTTAGAAATTTCTTAGCCACGTTTGGACATTGTTTAATTTACTTTACTTATGGAAAAAATATAAGCATAATTTTGTCTATATTATAAACAGAAGTAAATAGTATATGTGTATAATCCAGATATATAACAAATAGAGAGAAAATGAATTTCTCTTATGAAATGAGAAAATAAATGTATCTTCAGGTACCTGTATCTGTGCTCTCGCAACTCGCTCTGATCGAAGACTCCATCCGTGTGTTGTATTGGCCATATGTGAAATACATCACAAATCGTACTGAGAGCGGTAATGCGAAGGTCGTGATTGAGTTCTCCTCCGATCATAACGATATTAATGCAACCATCGTTACTCCGGTCAGTGGATACGAATACGTTCAAGTTCCTTTACATCAACAATTATTTGAGGGTATGACTGTGAACAAGCCAGTATCGCAGCCAGGATGGCTGGACGTCATCATGGACAATACTCGTTTCTCCACAGCATCATTGTACAAAATGATGAAAGGCCAATCCGGTAAATCATCGCTGAATTCCGCTCAATGCGCGATTAACACTTTTACTACTTATATATTTAAACATGATTGTATATATAGATCATTCGAAAACTTTCACGTTATTGTCGAGCGTTTTTCTCTTGCAGAAATTTGCACCATCTATCCTAAAATTTTAATCACCGGAAAGGACGTGATTCCATTCGTGACGTCTGATAAATGGACTCTTGTATCCGGCGACTACATCGACCAGACGTATGCCATTTTCGTAAAAGCTGTGCAAGATAACGCGTTAGCCGTCAAAATATATATTGCCGGTCACGAGATGAACATCGTGCCGAACGAAAATCATATCGTCGTTACTGTCGACGGTAACGTGGTCGAACAACATGAGAAAGGTGTTGTGGTGCCGAAGGACGAGCTGAGGTCTTACGCAATCAAGTAAGTACAATGAATGATCGATCGCTCGATCACTGTACTCAGATTGAAAACAATTGCAATGAGTATATTTTCTTTCGTAGACTCACCGAGAACAACGAACATCTGGTGGTCCAATCTCAACAGGTACCAATAATGATGATGTGGACTCCCAACAGCGTGACTCTGATGCAGGATACTTCTTTGCAACATCGTGTGACTGGCCTGTGCGGAAACATGGACATACATAAAAGGACACTTTCCAACATTTACACTGTCCCACATCTGTAATTCATAATATAACGTTCATATCTACGTTATATTCTTTTATCATTAAAAGTTAAATAGTAGGATGATAGTAGTAGATAGAAATAGAAACAGAAGAAACAATAAACTTTTATTTTTCGTTTATCTGTGTAATAGCTTTTCCTTCGATCTAGCGAAATATATAAGAACGTCAAAAGAAAGGACATCTTTTCATCATTTTTTCATTTTTATAAGTATTCTTGTATATTTTTCAAAATATTATCAATCTCTTATCTCTTCAATAATATATCTATCTTCAATATGTTTACATTTATCAATTATATAAAGAATTCTATTCATTCATATATTTTTCCACATTGGTGATACTTTATGACATTTATTACTAAGTATTAAAATAATAATTGTCACTGTCGATAATTAATAATTATATAACTACAAAAATTAATATTTTTTCTTATATTTCACATATGTGGTTTACAATAGGAAAGTATAGCAAGTCGCCTCCGTGGCGCAATCGGCTAGCGCGTTCGGCTGTTAACCGAAAGGTTGGTGGTTCGAGCCCACCCGGGGGCGTTTTTTTTTATATTCTTATATTAATATTATTTTTTTCATTTTTAAATAAATTTACATATACATAAAACTAAAATAATGTATTCTAAACGAGTCTATAATTTTAGTAGTATATAATCATAATTAGCATTAAAATAAGTAGTTATATATTATAATTAGTACTAAATGATGATAATTAAAATCTTACAAAACGTTAATATTTTACAAAGTTTTCATTCAACTTTTGTATAACTTACATTAAAATAATAATCGTAAAAAATTATGATATGTGTATTTATCGAAATATAGAAATATTTATAATTTTTTTCGCATTTGTAGGTATAATCGTGTGATTTAAAATTCGCGGAAGCCTGCCAAGTACATACACTCACCAGACTGTGGCGCTAATATCGCAGCCGGCGGCCAGCGGCCATTTTCTCCTATCAACTCACGAACGCCACACGAGAAGAAAATTGATTATTCCAACCCTAAAGTCACGATTTATTACGTAAGAATGCTCTATTCTATATATTTATAAGCAATTATTGTCGAGTTTAATTTAATTTTAATGATATAAGAGAGACGGACGTTGAGATATTGAATCGACGTGATCAGTCTAGCCGGTCGATGCTCCACTCCATTTAGGAAATGCGATAATATATAATTCTTTGAATGTGTGGACATATATAATTAAGATATAAAATATATTTATTATTCTATTATCTTTTGTTTACTTTCGTGTGAGCAATTAAGTGCGCGTATTTCAAATATACTTTTCTCAAAATTTTAGGTTAGAACCGCTTGAAATTAACTAGTTAATATATCAAATTTCATCATCCATATTATGTGATCCATATATTGTTTGATGTTTTGCAGATAGCGTATACTTAAACATGACAACAATACAATTTTTTAATCGATTGGGTCAGTTGGGTCTAGGCATAGCTCTGGCAGGTGGTGTCGTCAACTCTGCGCTATACAATGGTACATTTGATATCTTCTATTTCATGTGAAATACTCAGCAGAATTATTTTTTTAAATTAATGTATTAATTTCTTTTTCAGTTGATGGTGGCCATCGTGCAGTTATATTTGATAGATTTGCTGGTATAAAAAATGCTGTGATAGGAGAAGGAACACACTTTTTTATTCCTTGGGTACAAAAGCCGATTATTTTCGACATCCGTTCACGACCAAGGAATGTTCCAGTCATTACTGGAAGCAAGGATCTGCAGAATGTAAATATCACTCTTCGTATTCTCTTCAGACCAGTACCAGACTCTTTGCCTAAGATATATACAATCCTTGGTGTGGATTATGATGAGAGAGTATTGCCATCTATTACCACAGAAGTATTAAAAGCTGTTGTCGCACAATTTGATGCTGGTGAATTAATTACGCAAAGAGAACTCGTGTCTCAAAAAGTTAGCGATGATTTAACAGACAGAGCTTCACAATTTGGCCTTATCCTGGATGATATTTCCATTGTAAGTATATTTGCTTTTGTCAATTATATATACGTGCTTATATTATTATAAAAAGATGTATTTTTTTTTCGCACTTAATGTACAAATTTTCATTCGCCTTGAAAATCTTTCAGACACATTTAACATTCGGTAAAGAGTTTACCCAGGCAGTAGAATTGAAGCAAGTGGCGCAACAGGACGCAGAGAAGGCTCGTTTCTTGGTAGAAAAGGCTGAACAACAGAAAAAGGCAGCTGTTATTAGTGCTGAGGGTGATGCACAGGCTGCAAGCTTATTAGCAAAATCTCTGGCCGAGGCTGGAGATGGTCTGGTTGAACTTAGAAGAATTGAAGCAGCGGAAGATATTGCCTTCAATATGTCCAAATCTCGTCAAGTGTCATATTTGCCAACAGGTCTAAATGTGCTGCTCAATTTATCACAGTAAAATAAATTGGTACATGAATTGTGCATTTACATCATAAGAGATTTGATGCTGTAATAGAATGTAAAAAGGAAAAGTATATATATATTGAAAACTTCCATAAAAATGCATAGCAGGAATATATAGTATTTCATAATATTTATGTTTTGACGATATAGATTTGTAGATTTATATGTCCTTAATCCTCTTGTGTACAATTATGGGGACTCCAATGTTATGTTTTTATGTTATAATATTTGTTTTTTTTAATTTTTACTGAAGAATGTCCAAAAAATTCAAAGGAATATCTTGGACATTGTATATTTAAGAGAAATAGTCTTCCATAAAATATTATTCTTAATAGTATTTTCTATTACATTTATTTCTACAATTAATAATAATATGGTATATACAATGCAACACGAACAATACAATAATGCTTTTATATTACATGTATAAAAAGAGTCTTATAAGATTATTTCTCGCCCAGATTAATTGAATAAATCAAGAAGTAAAAATATATAATGTAATGCTCACATGTGTCAAGATGCAATATAAACTTATTCACTCGTATAAATCATTGTTCTTGTATAACAAAGTTTCTAGTTACTGATTTAAATATTGGTTTCTTTTTTAAAATACGAAACATGTGAGTAATCATAATTTATTCTTTCATTCAATCTGTATTGGAATTTAAAAAATGCGAATTTAACTTCTAAGTCGCAAACTCAGAAAGTGTCGATATACGCTTTTTAAATCGATAACAAAAATCTTCGGACGGAAAGATGATGCGGCTCGTTTGTTCCGGACGATTCGTTCGGATGAGCCATCCAATGAATCGCCATGATCAATCAGGAAGTCGAAATTGGTGGAAGATTATCTCGGTTGGGGTGCTTGCGTCTCGCCTCTGTCGGCACAAGCTGTTAATAGAGAAAACAATTCATCATAATTTGGCGGCCACCGCGGGATGCCTTTACCCATGGTGGTCCACTATAAGAACGTAAAGTATACACGACGATGTCGGTTGTACTTATATGTGTTTCGGTTACCGGTATTGACCCCGACAGATTTATTACATACCTACCTACAAGGGCAATTAATCGGCGAGCCAAACTTATTCTTTTTATAACATCATGTATTCTAGATATTTTTCAATCTCTTTTGAGAAAAAAGGTACTCATTTGTTATATACTCGTAATAAAATTAAAATTGCGTTTTGTTAATAGTTAAAATTATAAAAAAAGAAATTGGTATGTCTAATCAAAATGATTGAGAGATATTGCTTCACCCGATTATATTGAATACGTATTGTCGCAAAGTGCCGTTTGCTTCACGGTTGTATGTGTGTTGTGTCGCGCATGATAATAATATAATATAATTTCCACAAAGTATACTATGAACTGAGAGAGAGAGGCAAGTGAGAAAGAGACGTAGAGAGGAAGCATCAAGGAGGGTTCGCGGTGGCAGCAGTACCGGGCGAAAGCAGATTAGCGTGAATAATGAAGACACGACCCCGTGAAAGCCTAAGCGGGCCTCCTTAAGTCTGTTCCTTGGAGTAGAAGCCGAAGCCGGAAAGGGAGGATGCTGAGGGAGGGAGGTGGAGCGGACAGAAAGGACGTAGAAGCAGTTAATTACTCCTCCCATCCACGGGATAACGACTTCCCCTTATTTGTCGAGAGGCGCAAACAGCCAACCCTCCGCGAAATCCCTCGCCAAGACGCTTTCTCCTGCGTATACATACAGGTATACATTTGACTTCATATTTACATGTGTGTGTGTGTATATACACACACACACATGCTATGCATTTACATATCTATATATATGTGTGTGTGTGTGTGTGTGTGTAGGCAGATGCGATCGAGAACTATCCAGTTCATTTTGGAGTATCCATTTTTCATCGATCTGTTTCTCGATCGATCACTCACTTCGGGACTTCGGGATGAAACGCTTGATGTCACCTAGTTATGAAGACGCGTTATTCAAGATGGATCAAATTCAGGATGCCGATAAAATAATCAGAATACGATGTTCGGAATAGGATGTTTTGAAAGAAAGATTGTAGCCAAATCTACAAGAGATCTAAATGTTGTAAAAAATAATTTAAAAGGTGATTAGATAAATGATAACAATTAGACAAGGTGATCATGTACGATGATACTAATTGATTAACGCATGATTTTTTTTTAATTTTTAGAACAAACGCTGAATGGAAATTAAATCTGCCTTTCGCATAAATTTATCCATACGATATATTCTCACCCCAACGGAGTCATTTCGAGGTATAAGACGCAGCCATCGTCAACCGCCACTCGCTAAGTCGAAGAACCCATTGACAGCTACAGGACGACGTGGTAGCACATGTTACGGCGGGACCATGCACGGAACATGCCATGCAACGAAACAAATGTTAGGTACGCCCAAAAACACGATGCGAAAAGAGTGAGAGAAAGAAAGAGAGAGAGAGAGAGAGAGAGAGACAGACTAATTACGAAAGAAATCATAATAGGCACACATGCACCGCGGGCGATGTCGGGCTAACGATCAGGCTTCCTCCGCCGCATCTGCACCTGTTACTCGGATCCTATGGTCGTGTCGATGCACGCGAGCTGCATATGCCGATGGCCTTCCTCAGAAACAAACCGCCTAAGGCTCCGCTCCTCCCTCCAACTTCCATAGATCCTGAATCCAGAAAGGTGAGGTTTTATCCTATTCACTCATATACACCATTTTACGTTCTATATATTAAAAAAAAAGAAAGAAATAGACCGATTAGAGAAGAAACCAATTAAAATTTCGCGAAATTAATTCCCCGATCTATGGAATCAATTAGATCTAAAATCGCATTCAGATTTCATTATTAAAAGAAATTGATTCTCATTATGAATGTGTATAAATGCGAAATGTAATCGTCTACAACTTCAAGCCTCGCAAGAAAGCTCTATTGCGTATGTACATTATCGGACACGACTAGTTTTATTAGGGAAAGGGAGAGAGAGAAAGAGAGAGAGAGAGAGAGAAAGAAAGAAGGAGAGAGCTAAATCATCGATATTAATGACGCGATCTATAAAATTTTCCATCGATTAGGTTCGCCGTGACGGCGCAACCTTCTCTCTATCGCCATAAGAGAGCTCGTAATCGTAATTAACATCTCTCTCTTCCTCTCGACCATTCCGTTTTATCGCGTTACTCCGCTTAGAGGAAAGTCGCCGACAAGTCGCTCACGCACGACGAGTCAGCGTAATAACGGCCGCTTTGAACTGACCACGAGCGCGAGATAAACGGACAGAAGGTCTCGTTAATTAAGGCGGAAAATATATATACATATATATGCGAACGAAAAGCGCCCTGTGCCACGCGTTGCGCCTAAGGCACGAACAATCTTTTTGTCTTGATGCTGTTCGCGGAGCACCCATGTGCGGAGCTCTCATGTGCCGCTGTTTGCTATATTATTGTCCGTCGACGACGAAATTGAATGAATCGCGATTTTAAATACGCGCACTGACCACCGCCCGTGTGTTTCGGAACTCCGGAGCTCTCTTTATTCCGCCGACCAGTCGTGCGTATGATTACTACTCCGTTTGTCATTCTCGAGTAATCAACGTTCGCAGATATTTAATAATTACGTGCGCGAGTTTCGACGGACAGCTAATTGCTCCATGATGAAAGGTGAGCGCAGCAAAAGGAAAATATCGTTATCGTTAATAATGAGTAGACTCGAGTAGATAATTAGAATCAGATAAGCGACGAACGTGTACCTTCGATCAAGTGATATCCTTTAAATTACATGTTTTTAATCATCATTTTAATTTTGCGTTCACAATCATTATGTCGAATGACTAAAGTTGGCCAATTTCGATGATTGACATGTTTTTAAGTTGAAAATTTTGTAGAATAATTTAATACCTTCTCTACAAGCATCTCTAGATTTGTCAAGGATAGTAAAAATTGTTATTGCTAAATTGAAACGTATAATACATCTATTCATTAGTGGTTCAGTTGCACGCAATAATTCAAAATTAAACGGAAAGAAAGAGAGAGAGAGAGAGAGAGAAAGACAGAGAAAATGTACGCCTTTTCTAGATACTCTTGTGTAAAAATTCTCCCCCGGGCCGAAAATTTCTTTTGCCTCAGCCCGAGGCGAGGCCCCTGTTGAGGCAATCTTCGTTATAAACACCGGATGGCCGGAGTGTGAAGATATTACCCTCTAAAGTGTTTTAACCCGTCAAAGCAAATGCCGTTCGCCTCCTGCAGTCGTAATTTTGAGAAGACTGCCTAGTCAGATTTTTCCTTTTTCTTCCCCTTCCTCTCCCCTTCCTGTCTTCATTCGAAACTTTGCACGCGAGGAATAATTTTCAATAAGTGCATCTCGCCGCGTTGCATCTCTTGTCTTTAGCGAATAGATATAAGAATGGACCGGCTTTAAAAACTTGTAGACCTCGAAGAGTTATGAAGCAGTACGATCTTGAATATCGCGAAAAATCGCGAGAAGTTTTGATCCTTATAATCTTCTCCTTTCTTTTATGAAATATATATGCTCGAGCAAAAAATCCTTTAAATTTTCCAGTGCAAAGTGATCGATTCTCCTTCTCATTTCAGACAGATCTTTCTTCCAATAGATTTTTCTTCGTTGCCTTGTTTTGTCCACGAAGATAGTCACTCAATGTACGGTAGTATGTACTTAGTTAACATCAAAACGATCATTAGAATCAAATATTGTGGGTATTTCGAAAGAAAACTAGTTACATATTGTTTTGTCATTCATCATCGATTTAACGAGACGAGAAGGAGAGTATACAGATGAGAATCGAAAGGGATGACGTTTCTCTCTGAGTTCGATTGATTTAGATCGAGGTAAGTCTCGAGCACAGGCCCTGTAATCTCGCTGACACGCCGGTACGCACGCGAACATAACCCCTGGGGATGTATCCGAAATTTAGGACGAGGGGGGTAGAGCTGCAAAAGGAATATTCCCTTTGTACCAGTCCTCGCGTACTGAATTAGTGTCCCTCAAATTTACGAGACTCTCGTCAGATCGGTGAACGATGATTCTCGGTAGAACAAATTAGATGGGAATGCATCTTGTTAGATGATCCGACGTATTCTAAGATGGGGTGTAGTAGAAGATCTAAGAAAACAACTGATAATTCTATAATATATGTACATAGAGAGAGAAAGAAGGAAAGAAAAGAGAAATCATATCAATCAATAAAAATTAATAACGAGATTTAATTTTCTCTTCTTTAAAGCTTTTTCTTTAATTTTATTTCTCTAATTTTTTATAGATATTTTATCGAATGTATTATCTTTGTTTTATCTGGTAATATAAAATTTGTGAAATATTCTTTATACATATCCTATTTCGTGGTTATATAAATTGTACATCGTTAAAGTTAGATGGAAATTTGTGGCCGGAAAGTAGGATGGCGCTCCCGTTAGGAAGCTCCCTCCTCGCGAGTATCCTCAGGAAGTACCGAGGTCATCGCGTGCGGACCCGTATGAGAGACGATCGCGAATTTCCATTGTCGACAATGTATAAAGAAGAAAGGTTCACGGCTGCGGCATATGCAGGGTCAGGTGATGACACTGGATGTCACCGTTAGTTGGCGATCATCTCGCAGCGCGAGTCAGATGTGTATATTCGAAACTAGAACAATAATCCGTACAGAGTCATCATTCTGATACTAAATTGTTAACTGCTCGGAAACTCGGGAAAATTTACTGAAATAAAAATATCAAGGGTTTTTAATAAATCGCTACTTTATGATTATATCCCTCATGATTTTAATATACAATTTATTCAATATACAGGAAAAAAGGCATAAGTATATTAAAATGTATTATCTAAAATATTATATATATATATATATATATATATATATATATATATATATTTTTTTTTATAATCAATATTATATTATTTCTATCACGAGATTTTAATTTTTGAAAAAATTGTTGAAAAAATCAGATGAAACTACGATATCATTGCAAAAATATATATAATTTTTTTCTTTTTTCTCTCATTTTCATGATTTTAAATTAATTTTCTAAGAAAGTTATAAATTATATTTAAAAATAATATAGTTATATTTAAAAATATATTTATATTATGTTATATTTAAAAATAAAGAAAATATTTATAAGGAAATTTGCAGATTTCGTGCGTAATATGTGCGCTCGCGATGCATACGACACGCACAACGTACGGTACTCGCGTGACAAGAACGATCGACACATTTTACGCGATGTTCGGCTAACGGTCGAGTTTCTTACTGGTGTTTCATGAAGCATGCGCGACATTTTATCTCCTGCATGATAACCCGTTCGCCGGAATGCCCTTTTTTTTTCCTTTTCTCCCTCGTACGAAGCGGACTCGTTTCTTTTGCGCCTTCGACCACCTTTTCGACATGTCACGCGACTCTGCTCAGACAGGAAATGATTTTGCATTTGAGGTCGATTATAATTCCTCCGAGGTTGATCATCGCGAATCTGCAAAACTTGCCCTTATCTCGGTCTTTTTCCACAATTATATTTTAAAAAGGATTTAAAAGGAATTTACATGAAAATTAGCTAAATGTTCTAAATATAAATTAAATGACGAAAGATATATGTTATCCAATTTAATTTATATTTTTATATTCTCCGAGCTTTAGCGATCGTCTCCGATTGCTTATCAATACGTTCATTGGATTTTATTATTCGATTTGGTACCGCCGTTTCCACGGTGGTCTCGGTAATCGTCTCGGCGACGACCTCTTGACGAACACGACGACAGGTAAATGGCGTTCGCCGTGACCTCCGGTGATCAACCAGCGGCTTCCAAGATCGGCGGTCGCGGAGGACGACAAAAGCGGGGCAGCTCGGTTCCCACAGGAGCCGCTCTTCCGTGCTGTCTTCGTACGGACGTTAATTCGTGAGAGGGAGAAGTCGCGCAGGCCGGAGGGACACATCGCCTGTCGGAGGATCATCGCCGATGTGGAAGGAGACCGGTAGAGGCAACATATGTGTAACGCGAGGGGCGTTTCGTGGCTGCGGTCCGTCCGTCCATCCGTCCGTCTGCGGCAAGGAGCTCGGCGAACGTAATTGCTACATCCTCAGATGCTGCCGTGGTGTGTATGCGCGGGTTGCGCGTTACGTTGCGTTACATTGTGGCCGTCACCATCATCATGTGCTGCCAAAATCGAATCCATTGCGCGATCTCGCATTCGATGAAGCAATCTACGAGGCGGTGAATCAGCCGCTTCATCAGCATCTGCGAAAAATAGAGCTAAATCTTAGTAGAAAATCTTAGAAAATGTATACGCGGTTTTTTTCTTGTACGTGTACATGTTGGTTTCTAAATTAATAATCGCAACTGTTCAATGGAGAAACGCATACATAGTATGTGCATATCTACATATACGTGATAAGATGCAAAAACAGTTTGTGCAGCTTTTAAAGTTTCACTGTCAGAAAAGGAATTGCATGTGATTCAAATTTTGTCCTTGTTACTATTATTTTTCCTTTCGAATCATACAAGTCTGACCTGTCAGCGGCCTGTCATTTCCGCGTTTAAATATATATAATTCATATATAATATATATCTCTTGTAAAAGCATTTTGTTTTGAAAGACATGGCCAATTTATTCTCTAGCCGTTGCCTAGTATCATAAGACCCGCGGTTATTTTTGCGAAATAAGGGGGTCCTCTGCCATCCCCGTCTTTTAGTCTGACCCGTGTACATGCAACATACACATACGTGCATGCACGCGTGTGCAAGATGCAAAATACGCGTGTGCGACGCTTCCGTCACGCGACCGCGCATCGCGTCCTTTCCTCTTCTCTCACCAAGCTCTTTTTCCCCATTTCTTTTTCTCTCAGGACTCTGTGGGGCTATCTGTCGTGGATTTTGACGGACGGTGACTCTCGCACGAGAGGATGAATTCCCGCGGATGCGGGATCCGCAGGAAGGACGGGTGCGCGGGGAGAAAATTGCCGCTCTTGGGGTGGAATTAATTTTCGCGTCTCCTTCACATCTTCCCTCTTTCCTCACTTTTTTGCGATATTAAAAAACATTTCTCTGGACATTGCATCATTATCGCGGAAACGATTTCTTAATCTCGATTAAAATTAATCGTGAGCATTTTTCTTGGCTAAGTGCTTATTGTATAATGGTGGAATATTAGCAACTATTGTGACGATCATTCATTATTGATTTATATTGGATCAGCGAACAATCAGCGAACGGTGTGTTTTGTTACTTTAATATTGGATGACTGGGGATAAAGGGAACCGATTATCGCGTTACCACACTTGGTGCCTTCGCTTTGCATGACGGTTGTTAAATTTCTCGCGACGGGTGAAACGAGACGCCCGGCTACTTCGACCTGAGAACTTAAACGAAGAACAATCCGCTGCGCCGACCCCCTCCCTTCCGGCCTTAACAATGTTTTTGTGCGGAGCGTAATCCACGATTTTGCCGTAGCTCACTTTTTACCGCCGCGTAACGATACCGGCAAGATTAACCGGCAACGTCAAATAAAAGCGCCGGGGAAGAGATAACGTAATAAATCTTCATTAGAAAGGAAAAAGCGCCGGGCACATATACACGCAGATAATACGACGATAAATGATCGCGCGGCGCCCGGGCGTTTCCTCTTCTTTCCCCGGGAAATCGCAGGCGTAGGTAAAGATACCCGACGCAAAGAACGAGTAATTTGCAAAATTATCCTCTAATCTGATAGAATCACGTTAATCGCGAAAATAACGCTGAATAATCTAAAATATTTAAATATATTTAACAACAATTTACTTTAAATAAATTATTTTTGCGAGACTCGTAACATTTTGCGCGCGCGAGAGATACTTTATATTAATGAGAAAACTGCATGTTACGAAACTTATACATAAAATTATGCTTAAAGAATGTGGACGATATTATTTTTTCGAACAGAAAGGGAGGATATTCTTCAGGATATTCTTCAGGATATTTCGAAATGAAAGGTTTCATCGCATGTGTATATATGTGTTAAATAATAGGTCAATTTGAAATATATATATATATATCTCTGTCGCGAGTCCTCGGAATCCTTCTAATTCAATCAAATTTACCACTATTCATGTACACCCACGAAAAGCGAAGAATCGACTCCAATTTAAGTCACGCATTACACTTGTCAATCATTATAGTTTAATGCTTGAGAACCGGGTTTCGATCGTTTCCGCTACCGGCGGAAGTTGAACCTGTAATTTTCCACATAATTTGAACAGAACTTTCGCCAAAATCCGTGACGCAAGGGAGTTACCCTTTAATGATGCACCACTTCCGCGTATTTTCTCAAAAAATACGCTTTGCGTTTTTGTCCCGATATTCTTAAAAGAAATTATAATATTTATAAATGTCAGTGTTTTATATAAAATAATAAGAGATTACCATAGTTTTATGTAAAATAATAAATGAAGATGAAATACGAGATACGATAAATGAATCATTAACATGATTAGATGCCATTTTCATATAATTTAATGATATAAAATTGATTCTAATTCACTTTTAATTAATTTTGACAAGTTTAGCTGGATCGAACATTAATGATAATTAGACAACTTTAACGATCTATTGATGTAAATATTTCGCAATTAATAAAATTTGATTAGAGATCGTGTCTAGAGTTTCAGAAAAATGTAAAAAAAAATCATAAACTACAGAAATTTTGCATGTAAAACGCAAATACGCATACTCTGTTCAAATATAAATCTCGCGTCGATTAGCACACTTGAGAGACGCAACCCCTTGATATCCGTGAAGGCAGCATTCGCCCCCGCTCGCGCGTCTCACGGCCGGCGGCGTAAAAGTAACGATGAGATTTACAGTGGCGCTTGTAAGCAATAAGTCATGTCCGACGAACATGTCGCCTATCGCAGGCCTTCGCGCGTGGCCCGTGGCCGCATACATAAAGATGATGCCAGGGATGAAACGCGATACGGCCACTCCTCGACGATAATATCGCACCGCTGCATCTTCGGGATGCGCGTTCGACGCATGCACGCGTGTGTATTGTTGTGTTGTAACGCGAACGTTGCTACTGTTGCTGTAAATATGCGGGGCTTAATCTGCGAAGAATACATCCGCAAAAATAATGACGCTAATCAATCAGCCGATCGATGCTTAATTGCGAGAGTAGCCAACAA